GCAGGGGCGTGTTCACATCCATTGAGCAACTGGACAGCTACGAGAAGCTCTGGCACGCCCGTGTCTACAGGCCGTCGCGAGATGAAATGACAGAGAAGGTGCGTGCCGTGTTGAAAGGGTGGGCTCATTTTGATCAGAGTCGTTTCTTTCTTCTGCAGTTTATCCAGTATTCCAACGTCATGCAACATGCTGTTTTTGTGGAGATGAGGTATGGATTAGTTTCCATGCATGTGTACTGTTTGAGAGTGCGTACACTGTACGTGCGTTCATATGGGCATTGTCTACATGCGTACATACATGCACACGTACTACGTGCATACAGACGTGTGTGCATACACATACGGGATGTGATATATGTACAAATTGTTGTTGCCCCCTCCTGTAGGAGCCTCGAGCTATGCTACCCTCACTACCCCACAGAGCAGGACTTCACTCACAGTGTCCTCAGCTCGGGCGACGTGGTCCGCGAAGACATTGCCCTCCTCTCTCGCTTCTCCCTCCAGTGGCGGCGACTGCAGGCCGGCGGAGAGCTCCTGCCTGACCTGGTCGAGCTGTACCAGTGGCTGCACACCGACCTGGCCCACCTGGTCAGCTACGACAAGGCCTGCACGGTCACCATCAGGAAGGTCATCAACAGAGCCGTTAAAAAGTACTCACGCGATCGGGGACAGTACTTGGAGCAGCTCTTTGTCAGGGTCAAAGGTGAACCACCATAACATTCACACTCATTTGTACCGCTATAACATACATAATATGCATGGCGAGCAAATGCAAGCAAGTTATTAGTGGTGTTCGAACATGTGCATTGTTTGAAGTGTGGAGTAAAATCTCACCTTTTGTATATCATAATAAAATGTGAAGGTGGGTGCTATAGAAGCCGAAAAAATTTATTAGTGTGTTGGCTATCCACCATTGATATGTGTGCTTGTGTGTCTATGCACAGAGGGCTACAACAAATACGTGGAGCTGATAGGAGGCGCCATCGGAGTGGAGGCGTATGCGGCAGTTCGACAGGGAAACAAGATATACACCATTGACGATGACATTCCTCTTCTTCACTTCCTCACTGGTCAGTGGCTGACTAGGACCTGATCATCTTCAGCTATACTATTACTATATAGAACGAATGCAACACATTTTTGGCGAGAGAAGCGAGCAGTTCGATTTTTGGTGTGTATTTTGAATCACGTAGAACGTGCAGTGGTCAGTGCAGGTCACAACATATAAATGGTAATAACAAAAAAAGCCCATGCTAAGATGACTAGGTGAGCTTGCTTCGTGCTAAATAATAGCCTTTGTAGTTGAATCATGCATCATGTTCTAACACTCTGAAAACCACAAGTAGTGATTACTGTTGAGAGTTGGTGTTGTTTGTATGTGCGTACAGATGTGGAGGAGGAGGAGCAAGGGAACGACTGGCTGTTTACAGTCATAGCCGACATCATCACTGCTCACAACGACATGGTGGAGCTGCCCCGACAAGTGGCCTCTCAGCCGTTCAAGCGACTCCTCCCCCAGCAACAGTCCACGGCGTATCCCGGAGAAATCGCCACTGCTAACTGCATCATCCCTCACTTCAAAATGTATGTAGCAAACAAGCCGCCTTCTATTGTATCTACCGCGATGCTGTCACATTATATTGTGCATGCATCAAGCAAGATTAGGCGAAAGTTGTACTCTACAGACGTGCTCATGCTTGCTTGCCAAATCAAAGACATACGTACGCACTTAGCTGCATAGGGCCTTTGCTTATGTCAGAGTAGAGTTGCTAAAACCCAGTTTTTGGTCCTGGCTTCAAGAGCAGTATAATAATATAGTAAAGTTACGCAGCATTGGGTTGTTAGCTTATCTTGGAAACATAAAATACTGCTGCAATGGGGTGACCAGCAATTCGTTTGTGGTCCAGGTCGCTACAGGATTTTATATGTTGTCGAAGGACATTATTGGCGAGCGAAATGAAAGTGCAAATTTTCAGTGATCTTACATGTGTTTACGGTAAGGACCTCACTGTCTACAAGTACAGGATTCAGACAAGTAGGTGGGCTCACTTCGCTTCAATTGGGCAGTCTGAATGCTTAAATAAGTGGTTGTACTCCTATACATGAGTGACTCACTCTTCCAAACTTCCCTACAGGCTGCATGGAGTCAATGAACTGGTCCAACTCCTCCGCAGTCGTCACCGGAACATTCTCCACACCTACCCCTCCTTCTCTCCCAACGTGGCCCGGCAGCAGCAGTCGGCCACCATGTCCCTCGGCTCTGCCCCCTCCCCCTCGCCCGCCTCTCCTCTCTTCCACCTCCAGGAGCTCCAGGAAGACATCATTGTCTCCTTCGTGGCCGGGAAACCCTTCATACTTGACGTGTCTGTACTCCGCACTCTGTTCAAGTTCAAAGTGTCTGTGCCCAAGAGCTCTGCAACACAAGGCCGAGTAAGTAGAGCTACGTAATGGACCGGTGTACTAGTCTATAAAGAGGCAACAAAATAACTTAAGTTGGACATTGAAAATCTCTTCACTATTTCCTTTTTACAAGTGTATATACAATCTATGTATAGAGAAACTAGGGGAGCAAAAGCTATTTTTGTTGTAAAGTGATCTTTTACCCCTCTCGCCAACTGCATATGGCTTACGTCTGTACTGCACTCTCTCTCCCTGTGTTCAGTGTGATCAGCTCAGACGAGCTGGCGGCCATACAGGAGAGGCTCCCCGAGGAGCTGAAGGGAGACATGGACCAGGAGTTCTGTAAGAGACTGGAGTTTGAGTTCCACCCAGCCGACTACCACGTCATGCTGGCCACCACCACTGGCCTCAAAACTGCCGCCAACCACCTTGTCAAGGTCGGTGATATATACAACTGTGTAGATTAGGTCGCAATAGGTATAGCCATGTGCTTTTTTCACTGGGGCTTTGTACGCCAGCTCACATCACATGTGGAATAGGATAGGTCCCAAACCTCGATATTTATACACATTTTCTTTCTTCCTGAAGGCACAAAATCTATGTACACCACCATAGCCTCTGCCTCACGACCTCTCCCCTCTATCTACTCTCTCCCTCGTCTTCCTCTCCTCCCCCTCCCTCGTCAGTTTTGTGATAAACAATAGAGTTGAGGCCCCTCAACCTGCGACAGACCCTGGCAGACTTCCTCCTCTCTCTCTCTACGACGGCCTAAACTCCTTCAAAGACGCCCTGAGCGAGATCGGCATACAGAAACTCACCAACAACCAGGTGGTCTGTCTCTCTGAGCTGCCCCTGGTTCACCTCTACTACTGCCTGAGGGTGTTTGCCACGTGGATGGAGCAAGGCATGTATGACTTCTCTGCTCTGCCCTACACGCTCAAGGCACACCTTCAACCTAATGACCTATCCACGCTGAAGGCTATACCAACAAACTGGGACGGTGAGTAAATGTTTTGTGCAGTTTTCTATTAGTTTTGAAAGTGACGTTAGTTGCCTGAATTATCTACTCCTGCTGCCACCTGGTGTTTTAAGTCTATAGCTGTAAAACTGTGTTCTATATCTTGAAGACTGTTGTATGCCGCTGTAGTAGGGGCAAATCCCCAAACGTAAAAAAATTTGCAAAAGTAAACGTGCATATAACAAATAATTTGGGGGTAAATTGGGAATGTTCCAGGGCCCTGGGACGTGAAAAAAACTCCCTCCTCCCTTCTCCCCCAGCGTCCATGAGTGAGCTGATGAGCGAGGTGGAGTCAATGAACAGCCTCCTGTCACACATTGAGGGTTACATCACCAGGCAGGACGCCGGGCAGACGGAGACACCGATCGCGGCTTACCTCAGGAACCTCAAACTCATCAGTGAAGACGAGAGACTGCCACGGCACATCCCCAACTCGGTCCTCCTCCAGCACTTCGTGGAGTTCAGGATCACTCTGAGAGGGTTAGCAGGGGTTCATGCGCATCCCACTAAACCTCAAAGTGCCTCAGAATCAGACTATAATTATACCCCTTTGTCAAAAAAATATTTATATATACCCTGGTGAATTGTGCTAATGTCCTCCTTAGCACCTATGCCAGATTTTATACAGTATGTGCTGCAGGGGCGCTGCACATACCATCGTGATTCTAAATACGCGCGAACAATTCACCCCCCAAAGTGTACGCTTTGCATGCAGAACTCAACTTATACTGGGAGCAGCGATACTTCCATAAACAAAGTACAGGCACTAGCTTTTTTATGCTTTTCTTTTTTTATGTAGGATCATGAGTGAGGTTCAGCAGAGGTTGGACCAGGAAGCCAAGGAGAAAGAGGCGGCAGAGAGAGAGCCGAACCACTGGAAGGAGGTGGTGGAGGATATATGGGAGGAGTTCCTGCCACACTTTAGAGGAGCAATGTACACCGGAGATGGGCTCTTTCTCTACGACGCTGCCGAGGGGTACTATTTGTACCAGAAAGAAGAGGGTAGCGGGGAAGAGGATGATCTGATGGAAGGTGGAGACGAGGAGGAAGAGGAGGGGCAAGAGAGGGAGAAGGAACAGGAGGAGAGAGAGGAGGATGATGAGTTCGGTGTGATCCCTGATGGAGGTATATACAGTGGATCCCCATACACTTTGCTAATCACCATGACACACTGAAAAGATGAACTTATTCTTAGGTTAGGTTCACAATACGTCACTTTGCCCTGGGCAATGCGACATGAATTGTGAACCTAACCTTAGCCCAACAAAACCTTATATACAGGAAAATGAAGAAGCCCACTTAGTTAAGTGCTTAGAGCATTATTGACTCTCAGTCATTCTGCCTACTTAGTCTCCTGTGTTTTTCTCTCAATTTGTATGCTTTTATACACATAGTACTTGTGATCTTCAAGTGTATGGTCCATGTGCAGGAATAAGTGAAGCGGATAGAGTTGCTGAGTTCACTCCCGAGCGAGTGGCACAGTTCCTCAAGGGCATTGGTCTCAGCCAGTATGCCCAGTCATTCGTGGACTTAAATGTGACCGGAGAAACGTTGATGGTAGTTGAAGACGATGATCTGAGGGATGTTGGTGTCCTGTTCAGACTTCACCAGGTCAAGATCATCACCGTCTTCAAGAGAGTTGTCACTGGAGAATCACCTACAGGGTTAGACTGAGACCACCCCACGTACTGTACCCATCAGGCGCAACGTGTTGAGTGAATGCCTTTCGGTCCACGTGTGGACGTATTATAACTTGTCTGTACTCTGTTGTGATAGCCTTCGTTGTTATCGGTGAGCTATGCAAGCTTACCAACAGTGCTATGTATAGCTACCTACTTAGCTTGAATAATGCAGCATCTAGCATGATAGCGGTTAAACCAAAGCAACTAGTGCTATAATAGATTCCCTAACTTGCCTCTAGCTATAGTCAGTGTGTGTCTCTCTTGCTATACAGTTTGACGGTGGACGACGTGGTCAACTTTCTAAAGAAGCTAAAACTGGACACGTACGTGAATCCCTTCAGAGCCAACGGAATCGATGGCGATATTCTGGAGGCCATTCTGGCAAGAGATGGCGACAAAGTCATGATAGAGAGCATAGGACGTGAGATGAAAGTGACGGACATCATTCTCGAAGAACTAGGAGTTACAAGCGGCATTCAAAGAGCCAAAATCCGCACTTTCAAGAAATTTCTTTCCGGCTCACTGGCCTCTGTTCGAAGCAGTGTTCAGAGCACAATGAATGCAAGTGTTAAAACCACCACCAGTCGTGCCAGCGTTCAGTCGAAAAGTTCCAGTCGCACTGGCAAAAGAACCTCATGAGAGATGCTAATAGTTTTTGCACTGTAAATTTTATTGCTATAATAGTGGAATCGTCGATGTATTGTATAATATATATGTTGTGTATTGTCATTGTCTGAATAAAGAAAACGAAGATGGGATATAACGAGAGTAACAATTCACACGAGGGAGAAGATATAGAGAGAGTCAGAAATGAGCTGACACTTTGTCGACTTCCTTCAAGTCTTCCAGGATCTGACCGACAGAGGTGCCAATCTGCTTGGCAAAGTCTGCCTTCTCCTTCCTGCTCAGCTGTATGTACCTCCAGAGGAGTTCGCCGTCCAGTATCCTGTGCTGGGGACTGCACAGGTACTGGTGGTGCGTCTGGAAGGCTCTAGAGCATTCAACAGAAAATTGGTTGTCAACTTGATTGGCAAGCAAAGTGAGCTTAACTTGGTCATCAACCTGACTTAGGCTAGGTTCACAATATTTCGCATTGCCCCGTCACGTCCTGCCGGCTGCCGCGAAGATAGAAATGGCCTCGCGACTCGGCAACGCAGCACGGTGCGACGGGGCAATGCGAAATTACTGTGAACCTAGCCTTAGTCATCTGAATGGGGTTTCTTAATTCTGCAAGTACATAATATGCACAGGTGCTGTCTAGATTAGAGTCTAAGAGGGCTGAAATTTCACAATCCCGCGTGTGTGTGTGTGTGTGTGCACGTGGGACTCTCACCTGGGAAAATCCTTAATGCATGGACAATGCGGTATCTACGAGAATGAGTGAGCTAACATAGAAGCCTAGAGTGTATATAACCTGAAAGCCTTGGGGTTGAGGCCGGCATTGTGAGACAAGCCCTGGACCAGTTTGATCTGGAGCATCTTGAGACGACGGAAGGTGGTCTCGGGGAGAGGTAGCAGGTAGCCCACCGAACCATCCAGGGTCGCTACAACCATTACAAACACACGTACTACACAAAGCCTTTAGAGAACAAGAATCACTCTCATGTGGACTACGATATAGTGGCAGTGTTACTTTGTTTGCAAGTAAGCACAACAGATTTTTGTGGCCTTCTTGCATGCACACACAACGGCACAAATTCTTCAAAAAAATGAATGGTGTTTTATGCCCAGAAAACCAGTGCTCATAGTGTGGCCGTTCACGAAACAGCAAAATACCGAAGTAAGTGGTGTGTCTTCTGTCCTGCATGAGGACCTGCATCTCGTGAGGAGAGCCAAGTGGAGCTGAGGTGTGGCAGCGTAGTCTGAACATGACGTTGACGTGAGACCCCACATTGATGTCTCCCTGTCTAATGAGGTACTTCCCTCCACCACTCTCTGGAGCTACAAATATAGAGGAGAGAGATTAGTGCCTTCGAAATAGCAACGCAGAGCTCTGCCAATAGCCTTATTCACACGGCATCACACAGCAGAGGAGACAGAAAGAGAGACTATAGCTAGTCCCATTGACACACAGTTCCACCTCACAGCCACAGTAGACCTTGGCAGCATTACACAGCACGTTTGTATATAGGCTTGTACAGTAACGCAATTTTCTCTCCCCGAGGGCTATGGCTTCGCAAATGTGTTGCTCACCTTCAGGTTGGTACTGGTATATGATGAGGTTCTGATCAGAGTCTGACACTGCACGATGTAGTGAGGGAGAACACAGCGATTAATGATAAGGGGAGGGAGTGTGCACTGCGATCTGGTGCACCACGACACACGGTGGTAGTATTGGTCTTACCAACTATGCCCATCTGGTTTCCGTCTATCAAGTATTCGTTGGCATACACGTCCACTGGTTGTGGGTCCTACAGCACACACACACACACACACACATTACAAACTGCGTGACGAAAAGTGGTGGAATACTGTACCTGGCTGACAAGGGAGAGGGTCCTTCTGCTTTCCTGCATTGAAAGATGACTCATGTTACAGGATAGTTAGTACTGTAACCCTCGCTCCGCATGTGCGCCGATGGTTAAGTATAGTTCCATAAAGTAGGAGGCTATGATCATACTGAGTCATCTATAGCCACAAATTTTTGTGTTTTACAGGACATTAAGTACGTTGCACTCACTTTGTACTTGAGAAGCTGGATGCTGTGGTGAACATCTCCAATGACAACAAAGTTCTTGAGTGACACGGCTCTGTGGGAGTAGATTTCCGTGTCGATGAAAGCCACACCCACAAGGTCCTTGTTGTCTTTGAAGTTCCACATGAATATCTGCAACAAAATCACCCCGTATCTTAACGTCATCATCGCTCAAGGCACGTTACAGTGAAACACAGATTATGGGGTTTGTGGTAAGTTTGAATGAGTGAGTCCATGATGGCACCTTTTGTCCCATACAAGAGAGAATGAGTCCATCTACTACTTCTAGAGAAGAGACAATTCCCTTCTGTTCCTGGTTGTACAGACACTACAGAGAGACAACAGAGAGACAGTCATCCTTACAGCCTCCAGTGCAGTGCAAATAGACCTCAGGAGTAAACATAATACTAAAACTTTCGTACTTTTAGCAAGCAAGTGGGAAGAAGGTCGGGCCAACCAATTATACTAAATGTGTTGACTACAGTTGGAGAGTGCAGTGCTCATGCAGAAAAGGTGGCCTAAACACTTGTATTTTCAGAAAGCAAGTAAGAAGGACAGGCTAAGAATACCTAGACTATAGCTAAAGTGTGCTAATCCTCAGGAGTGTGGTATGATCATACGTCGTACCTTCAATTTGTTCTTTGTCAGTGGCTTCCCAGGCTCAGGTATAACATCCAGCACATCAAATACGTAAATCTGCAACGAGAAAACCTTCATAAACATATTTTCGGGGTGTATGTATGTATAAGTAAGACCTTGCCAACGTTGGAGGTGTCTTCGCTGCAGATGTATGTCGTCCCCATGACGATGTACTCCTTGCGCCCACTCATTGTCTCCAGACTACGCAGCAGCATCACCTTCATCGCAGTCACGTGCTCATTGTCCTCCAGACTGAACCTACACGCAGATGTCACACATTCAACCAGCGTGGAAACTGTAGCAACGAGCAAATGCCAGGGAGCAACATGTTCGAGGGAGCACATTGCAGTATCGGATTGGAAAATCACACTGTTCAGACAGTTAGCCTACTGTGCTCGTCAGTAATATAATAGCCGGCATCGGTGACTTTGCAGAAATTTTCCACACCCAGATAACATTAACCAGGGGGGGGCTTAAAAATGGAGGAGCTAGAAATCCACATGCCAAAGTCATGTACATGAAGGTATTAGACCATGTGATGCCAAGAGAAAAAAGATGCCCGAGCTCTGGACAGCTGTTTCCGGGCTTGTTGGGCCTCATCAGCAGAGCATACAGCAACTTCTCTCTCTGGCATCACGAGCATGTGTGGACCAGGTTCATTCGTAAAGGTAGGGATCTGCAATCAGTGAAACTTTTCTCTCCAAAAAACAATATTGTGCAAGGTCGGCTACACTGGCTCACTTGGTGTTGGGGACGACCTCCCAGGAGGCGGGGGAGAAGAGCTGGAGGTGGAACCGGTCGACGACGGGTGCCACGAACATGGGGTCTCTGTCGAGAGGCTGCGTGGAGTCGGTCCCGTCCTCATTCAGGACCGCCATCTCTGTCATGTCACTCTGCTCACTTGTCACCAGGGCATGCACCTGTTTAACACACAGTGTTTATTTCAGGGGGTGGGGGGGCTTTTGGTTCCCCCATGAGTCTTTCAGGGGGTGGGGGGGCTTTTGGTTCCCCCATGAGTCTTTCAGGGGGTGGGGGGCTTTTGGTTCCCCTATGAGTCAATTTGCCTACCCCTCCCTGGAATAGACATTTGCTGCGTGAATGGCTATAAAGTCAAACGTTGGGGAGCCCCCACACTACTATAGATGCTAGCGTAGCAGGGCTGCAAAATCAGCTGGCCCCTCAAGACTATGCTAGTGCACTCACTTGCTTACTTGTTTCTGTTCACTGCACTATAGTGCTTAGATAAACTGACTTTACCTAATCGACACGCACTTGTTTTCACGCATGCACTGGTTATGGTAAAAAAACCTGTGATATAAGTAGTAAGTGTGGTGTGTTTGGACCTTGCTCTTGGTGTGGTAGGAGATGAAGTGTGGAGTGGAGCGAATTGGGATCTTCCTGACCGGCCAGTGGGAGTCATAGGACAGGTGAACTGGCAGGACACTGATTCGAAGCTCACCCTGAAACACATACAGAGATGGATAATATATACATCACTGAGAACAGAGGAGGGAGGATGAGTGGCTAGTGAAGACTTATGTATGGACATTAAAATGAAAAGGGTAGCAATGTAAGCCACTTTTAGGTTGTTGTGTGCTAGTTCAGGGTGGTTCAACTGCATCCAAACCTCCACAATCATCTCATTGTACATAAGTTGTTTTTTGGACAAAGTTATTGGCAAAAATCGAGGACAAATATTTCTCTAGCTTCAGCGGTATGTTCAACGTGTATAAAACCATTCACATGGTATACGTGAAGAATTGAAGTAGCAAGTTAACATTTGGGCAACCGTATGTACCCTAACAGTGCTGTCAACCGAGCCCGGTGAAAAATGTAAAGAAAGGTCTTCCATACCTCAGAATTGAAGTAGAGGAAGCCGTGGGGACAGTTGATGTTGTGGAAGGAAGCAAAGCTGGTGACGGGACCATCGATGAACATGGGATGGACATACATGCCTCCTCTCCCACTGAGGAATATCCAGTGGGGATATGGTCCGCACACAAACACCTGGTGGTACAGAGATTGAACACTCAAACTGTTACATTTTTGATATGTTAGCTAGTACGAGATTCAGTTCTCTTAAAGGGAAGGTGACAGTACCTAAGGGGGGCTAAATTTAGAAATGTTACTAAAGATGGAACTAAACAAATAGGGCCCAGTGAAAGAACGTTGTAACTACATTTTAAATTTAGCCCTTGTATACTGCCACCTTCCCTTTAAGAGAACTGAATCTCGTACTAGCTAAAAAATCAGATTGAGTACAGTTCAAAAGTTTTAGCAGTGTCCCAATGCACTATATTATGGGGAAGAGAAGGACAGAAAGAGAGAGAGAGAGAGAGAGAGAGAGGAGGCAAAGAGAGATAAACAACACACTCCAGTATAGCTGGCAATGTTAGTGAAGACCCTCAGTCTTGGAACAAACTTTGAACTCTCCTGTTTCTCCTCCTCGGGACCTAGGCCTGTATAAAGCCGACAACAGAAATCTATTGTTTGAATGAAGTATACTTTTTCAAAGGCAATGTTTCAGTCACACAGTTTATACTACTTACAGCCTATAACATGAGTCCCATTCATTGAGATTAAGTGTACATACCTTGACGGCTCAGCTGCTTGTCGAGTTTGCTTTTCTTCCGGTCGTGAAGAATGGTCTTGTGCAGCACCTTCACACATTCATACGTACAACATGCCAGTACATAGGTTAATCCATAGTAGTTTGGTGAGCGAGAGTGAGCCTTCAGTTACGCATACGTTTGCGCTGGCTTGCTAATACTTTTTAGCATAAAAAGAAAGACAGTTAAACGATGTATATTGTCGTATACAATTGTGCCGTTCAGACTATTAGGTTAGCTCACTGCCAAACACCATGCAGTTCAACTAGTAGCTCACCTTGCTGAACCTCAACTGGAGATGATCTTTCTTCTCCGTCTGTCTGTAGCGGAAAGCTCGGTAGACCACCAGCTCGTTGTCCAACAGAGCCAGGAGATACGGGTGGGCGGAGCCTCCGACGTGAGACTCCACCCCCAACAGGAGGAGCTCTCCCACCCCCACTGGACGGTCGGTGCTCTTTGACTTTGTCTTGGAGCTGGCTGCCACTGGATGGGGACTGACAGTGACAGTGACAGTAACAAACACAGCACATGATGCATACTTGATGCAACTTTGTTGCGTGAGGCAAAGTTGCATGCAACTTCAAATGTATGGGTATGATAAAACATGAAACACAAGTTGTATGCATCATGTGCCATTGTAGTGTAGTCTTTGAACTGTCTGTCTAGAATGTATTGCCTCTCTATCTACCCTCACCTCTGTTGGGGTGGCCAGGCCCCACTGTCCTTGAGAGTGTTGGGAGCAGAAGAGAAATTCCTCACCGAAAACACCAGTTTGAACTCGGGGACGCTGTATAGCTGTGCATTAGAATACACACTCCTTACTTAACTCATAACTCTTCAACAGACACAATACACGTCAGCCACACATCCACTTCCATTCTAATAAGGACCGATAGGAAAGACTAACTGGCCTGTACAATGTTGGAAACTCCAAGGAAGAAAATGTAAGTTTAGCACAGAAATTGTCGAGGGTGAGCCTCAAAATAATATGTTTTCCGCTACGTTTGGTACGTTTGTGTCACAGACCTCCACTGAGCCGTCTTCTCTGGAGAGCACGCACCATTGGGTGTCGGCTCTTCTTCCCCCTTTGTAAATCCTATTCTCCTTCTTGACGTCCACATTCTCCGACAGCCTACCCCTGGACATTATTAGCAGAGCTCCTCACTACACATACACACGTACAAGTCGCCCATAACAACATACAGTGTACAAATTCATAGTTCTAATATTAAACAAATGTAGTGCCTCCAACTAAAACAGATTTGTCCGTATTTCACGGAATTCAAGGATCATTGATTTACGGACAAAAATACAGAAGAGGATAGAACCCCACAAGGCATAGGAAATACACACTACGACGAACAGCAGGGTTACTGCGGGATACAGAAATTTACGCAAATTACGGACGTATAGAATCGACTTGGAGGCACTGGACTTGCAAAAGGAAACAGAATGAGGAATGATAATTATATCACATCACTGAACCGACTTTTCTCTATTGGTGAGGGCATCGATATCTCCATACAGCAGCTCATCCTCTTCCTCGACCTCCATCTTTGTCTGCGGCCACTCGGTGGAGGGAGGGAACAGCTCTTTCGAATGATCAGGACCAGGGACTTCCCCTTCATTATCATCCCCATCGTCTTCTTCCCCCACTTCCAACGTGAACAGTCCACTCTTGTCCGTGTACGACGAGAGCAGCGTCACCTTTGAACCCTAGATTTCATTTCGAACACAAAACAAAAACAACGACATTAATAGGAAAAGGCAATCACCTAATGAATGCTTCAGCAAAATGCTTGTATATTATTTGTCTTGGGAGAAAAGTTCAGTGCAAATGTATGAAAAACTTCATACTGTATATTACAGCTGCAGCAAAAACGCCAACCTTTTTGATATCGGGCCAAGTGAGTTGTAAAATTGCCTCCTCCTGCCCATCCTCCCCATCTCCCCCTCCTCCCTTCTCCACAACCTCCACCACGGCCACAGTCCCGTCGACCAATAGGATCACAGCGTAGGGGTCGCAGAGGTCACATGCTCTGACTCCGCCCCCTCTGTCCAGGGGGATTCGACAGATCTGATGGACGTCCATGAGCAGACGGACATCTGTGGCTGTCACCTACACACACAAGAAATCTTGATCTCACTATAACTATGTATATGAAATGGAACAGTTTTAACTTCCGAGCCTGACACAGCATAAACAAAGCCTGATATCCAACGCACACAACATAAATAGAAATCACACTTTCCAAGGCTGACACATACACACCATATTTAAACAAAGACCACGAGTATCTCCTCCACACATACCACAGCAAAGGGCAATAATCATGATATACACAGATATCTTCTTTTTCGCAACCAAAACTCCATACTTGTTCTGCTATACTCGCCTGCACACTCTACACTTTCTTCGATGTAAGTGATAAGATAGTGACTGGAAAAAACACATTTGCTTCCTAACAAACACTCTTTAGTGTATGGGTTACGAGGACATCACCGTTCATGCACAGAAGTCTTGCAACACCAAAACGCCCAGCATACTGTACAATACCTGCACAATGTATTTGCTACCGCCAAGGTTCCCGGCATAGACGGTCGGTGCCTGGGTTGCAAATCCACTGCTGTCGAGCTCGGCTATCTCCTGCCCCGTCCTCAGGACCATGGTGGAGTCCGACCGACTAAGCAGGAGGTAGGCGTGCTCCCCCTCCCCTCCTCCTCCTCCTCTTCCCCCACTCTCCCTCTTCTCTTCTCCCTCTCCCTCGTCACCCTTCTCCACTTCCTCCTCTCCCTCCTTCTTTTTCTCTTCTTCTTTCTAATAAACAGATGGTTTTGTAAGCTAAAGCCCAACATACACAGCACAACTTTAACTCATGTACTTTTGTTGCTTGACACAAGTTGTGTCGAATAGACAACCATTCTATTTCCATGCAGCAAGTTGCATGCAACTTCTGCCCAACGTCGTACATGGTGCAACTTCCATGAGACTAAAGTTGCATGCAAAGTTGCGCCGTGCACGTCGGGCTTTAGAAAACACAACATTTCGACCTCACAACCATTTTACAGTTGTATAGACCTACCGCCAAAAGAAAGGCTCTGATACACTGTAGTTTAGACATGAACACGAAGTAAAAAGGCAAAGGCAAAGGCACGACAAACACGTCAACTACACCCAGGACAGCTCTTTTTTCCAAGGAAAGAAGAAGAACTGTCCTAGGTGGGATGTGTAAAAGATCTGTTTGTGTAGTAAGAGGTTAGGGTTCACCTTTGAAGGTTCAGAGTTTGACAGAACGGTCCACATATCTGTGCAGCCAGGCAGTTCAAAGGTCGTCACGACCTGTGGTCTAACACTTCTCTGCATGAAAAATGACATGAAGCAACATTAGTCCCCGATGTGTAGACGTAATTAGAGTGAAATATGTACATGTTTCGTATCTTTAATCTACCTGCAAGATGCACAGGGCACCGTTCTTGGCATGTCCAGAGCAAGTCACCAGTTCCAAATCAGGCCCACCTTTGTCGGCAAACTGGAGGAAACACTCACGAGTAATACATGTACACAAAATGGATACGTACAGTGGTACCTCGTTAATATGAACACTGTTAAAGCAAAATACCTGCTTAATATGAACCACTTTGAAATCACCAGGCATTATAGGAGTAATACAACTAGCAACTGTTATAGTGAAATATGAACAATTAACGAGGTTCCACGGTACATACATACATACATACATAAGCACATTGGCTTACCTCCTCCTTTGGATGGTAAAGGTTGGCAAACGGGAAGGAAGGGGGTAAAATGAGATTGAAATAATAATTGGTGTGAGGAGAAGATGTCTGACTCACGGAGATGAAGTCTGGGTTTCCAATAGTGGCGTCTGCAATGGGCCCAATGTTGAGGAGACTGTCACACACCTGCAGAACGAGGGGGGAGGTGGAGGGAAGGAAGAAAGTCAGAATGAGTGCACATCAGCGCATTAGCACAGAACTGGTTGGCCCCTTCCCCCAGTTTGCCTGTTACAGTTACACCACCCCATCTTTCCAAAGCCATATCCTTAGGGGATTTGCAATAGCTATAGTAAAATTCACCGGCATGCTCTTTCTCCATCACGTCCTTGCTAAAACTGTCAAATTTGCGACACTTTCCCAAACCATTAAACTGGCTGATAGTGAAAGACAGTGCCAGAACATGCATTTTAACACAAACTTGAAAACAGAAATGGAAAGAGAGGGGATTTATCAAAACATTCACTGCTGCAGTGTCACTCCAGTTTCAAGTCTCCAACACTGAATGCAAGCACCATACACATGTATTAGTCATACTGCCAGTACCTCAAACTTGTAAGAAGTGAGCATTGGTCCAGTGGTAGTGTCCGTGCCATACACCTCCAGCTCATCTGGGTCCTCTCCAACTGCCATTACCATAATATACAGTAGTAGGACACACTCACTTTTGATTCCACAAATGCATTGTACTAGAAGTTTACTAGAAGTTTACTAGAAGTTTACTAGCAATCTCTATAATGGCACCACTCAGACAACTAATGTTGTATGTACGTATGTGTAGGCAGGTCATAAATGTGCGGATTGTGTTACGTACCTGATACACTCTCTGTCTTTGCTTTCTTGACTGGAGGCTCAAGATCCTCAGCACCTACAATACATTATTATGACGTATATATTATGTACATACAAGTGAAAAACCTCCATATATCTTTCAATGTATTGTGTTTGCTAGAGTATATTAGTTGCACCGTACTTTAAATAATGTACTACAAAAACAGACTAGTCTTACCGCGAGAGGCCTTCACAGTGTATTTCAGCAGTAAACTGTTTCCCAGTCGTGAGCCCAGGAAGATATACTGTGACCCCAGTGTGCAGATCTTTCAGGGAAAACACCAGCGGAGATTAGATTAGATTCAGTTCCGAGTGAGATGGGGTGTTTCTTACACAAGAGGTGAGGACGGCTGCTGCAGCTTTCTCAAAGAGAATGTTCCTGATCCCCCGCATCCCGTCTGGAACCAGCGTCAGCAAGTAGCTGAGACAGACAGAAGATTTAACATTCGCAGTGTGCTACGTGTCAAATAAACGGCCCACATGTAACATATTTTCCTGCAATGCCGTGCTGCAGTGCTCTAGTGGCCGTGCAGAATTCACACACATGGGCAGGTGGTAGGGGCGGTTTTATAGGCATACGATTGCCCACATGAAATGTCCATTCTACAGTAGCTCACAAAGAGTTATGTATTACAAAACCCACAGGGAAACGCAAAACGCATTAAATATCAGATCCCTAATGAAGATGGGACTACGGTATGGCAGCCTCGTGATTCATACCATTAGAGACTCCAGTAAGTCAAGAGCTCACATTTCTCCTCCCTTGAGAGCGACGACCAGCTGTTCGGGAGTGATGAAGGCAGAGTGAGAGCAGTCCATGGTGATCGCCACATTGCCGGCCGGATTACGGAGGGGGAAGTTGGTGGAGACGTCGGATATGGAGTTGAGAGATATCCCGAGTGTCGGGGAGCTCTGGTTGAGGTAGAGAATGGAGTTGGCTCCCAGCAGTAGCATCCCTCCTGTTGAGGGAGAACAGTGTAGTGTGTGGTCAATCTCTGACAAAAGCTACGGTTCTTCAAAATGTATGATGGAGGCAGCAAAGAAGTATTGAAAGAGCTGCATACTTGATATTCAGACTGCAGGCAAGCATTGTGAAAAACACTATTTAGCAACACGTATGTATACTCAGTACTATTCACTGATCAACCACTGACTACGTAATTGGAGGGGTAACATATACATACATACATACACCAGTGCAACATATATTATACTAGCACAGTAGTTCTCAAGTGTACCAATGCTTAAGTACCAACACAGCACAATGTCATCTGCTACTCACCGATAGGTTGAGGGACAGGGAGGGCATAGGTACAGTCATATGGAAGGGAGTGAGAGTGCCAGATGACTGGACTGGACTTCTCTGAGGTGTTGAGAGAGATGGCGACAATGTTGCAGGTGTCCTTACGCAGACTGATACGACTGAGGAAATGACCGCATTACATCACATTTATTAGCACAACATTATAGGGAATGACTAATAGACAACACTACACTACACTGCTTGAGTCGATACTCGCCCTGCATTGCAACTTCTGGTGCCTCCAAGGTATGCAAAGCAAGCGGATCGCACGCACCGAGGGTTAACATCTTTTAAAAATTTAGCCCTTATGTATATACATACACTGTCACATTCCCTTTAAACTCACCCGGCCCAGGTTGGGGTGGGTTCATACAGTATGAAGAGAGTGGGGTTGTTGTAGCCATGGAGGAACTGGATGTCCTTCACACTGCTCACCCTCTCACTCAGGTCTCTCAGAGACACAGTGTAGCTGGCCTGGATGTCGTTGTGCTCACTGTACCAGGCAGAGTGGGGACACGGTGGCCTAACTTTTCGTACTTTTAGCAACAATTTGGGAGGAAGTACCGACTAACTAACCACTCCAAATACACTGACTATACTAGGACAGTGCAGTGCAAATAACCGCTAGGAGTGACTACGAAAAATGGGGAATACACTTTTCGTACTTTTAGCAATGATTTGGGAGAGACAAAATAACCACTCCAAATACACTGACTATACTAGGACAGAGGACAGTGCAGTGCAAATAACCGCTAGGAGTGACTACGAAAAATGGGGCATAAAATTTTCTTACTTTTACCAAGCGTGTGAGGGGGAAAAGAGGGCAAAAAACCTATTCACAAAACTCAACTATAGCTGGAGAGTGCAGTGCAAATGTACCCTAGTGAGTGTATCACGTAACGCAGGGCTTAAACCTTCAGCAAAACAACTATAGCTCAACACTTTTTGACCACAGCTGGGGTGCAAATACATAGGCATTACGATAACAGTCGAAAATCATGGGGTCTCCAAAATTCTTCTTACTCCTGTGTTAGTATATATACGCGTGTTAACGAGCACATTCACGAGCTGGCTGTCAAACTAAACCCATTTTAGCCGTCCGTCAGACCTAGCAATGAGAGGGGTGTCTGGGTCGTGTTCGTCAAGGCCGACGTCGGCGTGTTTGAACGGGAGGATGGCGAGGTGGGCCCCGTAGAGGAGCATGGCAGCACAGCGTCCCTCCGGATCCACCCTCACCACCGGCACACTTGGGTTGTGCAGCAAACCTCCCTACAAGAGTCAAGTGTATTGTGAAAATTTGGCGGACACACTCAGAATCACACAAATGCACGACTACACAGCATTGATTGTGTTCTCAACCTCAACCTGCAGTATGTGCACTGTACACAGACAAATCAACAAATAAAACTCCTTTGCAGGCCTAACAAATCAACAAATGAGACTCTTTTGCAGGCCTAACAAACATCTGTAATTTCAAGTGAGAAAACAGTCATATGTAGCTCAGTGGCAATCGAAGATCTTTTCACAGATTGCTATCCTGCCATAAAAATGGTCCCAACCATACAATTTCATGGATAAAACTTGCATTTTTCCCCTAACTTTCCCCCTGAATTTCGTGCTATGCGTATATACAGTAGACTAACCCTAAGGTCTTCATCTTCAAAGCAGTGAAGAGACATGGTCTTCAGTCTGTTGGTCTCAGGATCAAACTCAACAGCAGAGAGCTGCGAGGGAGAACAGAGGAGAGGAAGGAGAAGTGATGCACACACACACACACACACGCACTGTAGACTGAACTGGTCTTTACCTTGGCATCGTTGAAACTGAGCAGCAGTGTATCTCTCTTGGAATGGAGCAGCCTCACTTTCTCCATGGACTGCACACAGCCGTACAGGCTGTAGTTTGCAACCTGCAGCAGCTTGCTGGACCCTGAAGCTGCATCCAACACGGGCATCAAAGACTGTTGTGCATGCTCTACATACATTGTGAAGCCTTGTGTATATACAATGTAGAATTGAGATACCTTCTCCATTCTTATCGCCTCCACTCTTCACCTGAATTGGATCGCAAACAAAGAGAGACATATGCCAATTCAGTAGATGCGTTCTCACGTGTTCCGCACTCACCGGGCAGAGGTCGTACACTTTCAACACAGAGGCAGCGGCCACGGCCAGGCTCTTGCGTTTGGGACCGAAAAAGTTACACTCTATGCAGTGCTCCACGCCGGTCGGCGGGTGCAACTCGCGATAGATGGCGTACATGGAGACGCTGTCCTGGAAGGAGGCGGCGGAGGAGCCCAAAGTGCGCTCCAAATAGAAATTAATTTTTCCGCGCCACGTGCAAGTCGACAAGAGAGAGCTAGACTTTCCGCCGGGGGAGACTTGTGGTTGCGCAGCGGCTGCTGCACTGCAAGGGCGGCAGGTTAGAGGGGCCGTATAACGAGCAACAGGGCTAAACTCTGCGGCAGGTTTGAGCGAAACTTTGCGGTTTTCGGGTGATAAGGTAATGAGCTAGCTAAATAAATGGATCCGATCTGTAGCTACTTATAATCTATACCACACACTTCTACACCTACTCAGTCTTTCACACACCTCCTCGAGTGAGAGATGGCCGACGAGCAGGCAATTTGCACTGTGATCAAGGAACAGTTTGGGGCGGAGGTGGTGTACAAGGAGAGCGAGCTGCGCCACATCGACGACAGGATCCAACTCGCAAAGATGATGCTCCACCGTCTGCGGCTGGGAATCCTAGCCCAACAGTACGGACTCTCGGGATTCTATCTCATGGAGGACTACAGCAAGGAGAACGTTGGGCTCCAGGTCAGCTGGAATAGCTTCGAGGGCGACTTCCTCAATTCACAGAGGCAAGAAGAGGAGCACAAGAAGGACGGAGAGGAGGTTGGGAGTTCGGAGGAAAAGAGGGAGGCGGGAGAGAAGGGGTTATTAGGGGGCAAACGAGAGGGGTACACTCCTGAAATCGAGAGCACCACCCCCGCGGAAGGATCCAGCATTCAGAGCAGTCAGGTGCCGTCTGAAGTAAGTGAAGAGGACACTGCTGACACGACACAGCTACCTGAGCTTGCGGTGGGCAGAAAGGTGTCCTCTCTCCTGAACGACTTGCGGAAGCATTCCCCAGGTTCACACAGTATTGCATCTAGTGCCTCGTCGACAGCAGTGGGTGCTGGGAACAGTACAGGCGTTGAAGGAAGAGGAGGTAGCATTGTATGCGAGGAACCACCCGCCAGCCTCTCGCGATTTGCGATCAAGAAACGACTGATAGTTGGAAACACCTCGCAGTTTCTGGATCCAAGTGCTCGCAGCACCATCGATGGCTCCACCCACAAATGGATGGTGTACGTTCGAGGCCCCGGGAAGCAAGCTGACATCAGCTCATTTGTGAAGGCCGTTCGCTTCTTTCTCCACCCCAGCTATCACCCAAACGACATCATTCGTGTCTCGAAGCCTCCGTTTCACCTGACTCGGTACGGATGGGGGGAATTCCCTGTGAGAGTTCAGCTGGAGTTCACCGACAAAGTCAACAAGCACGTGGACATCATTCACAAACTGGTCCTGGACAGAACGCACACCGGACACCAGACACTAGGCTCAGAGACTGTCGTGGATTTGGATCTAGTCACCACGGAGGCTCCATCTCCATCAGTCAGCGGAGACGACAGAGCTGGACCAAGAAACAATTCAGTAGCGCACCCATTCAGTGCATCGTCGCACAGCAGTGAGAAGAAACACAGAGAGTCTGAAGCGACTGCACCAGAGGGAGAGATGGATTCCCGACACATTCACCACGTCTTCCTACCTGCCACGTCGACTGTGGACCAAGTCCTATTGGACCACAGCTACTCACAGATTGTCGTCGTCTCTCGCCGATCGAGGCCCCTGCAATTAACCACCGCAGACGAAGAAGCCATGGGTACGTGCGACCTAAACACCAGAACCACACTGGAGTCGGGTGTCGAAACTGACCATGAGACGCTCCTGGATGACCTATTGCACTCTATCGTGAAAACCGCCCCTCTGTGTGGGCCCGAGTCGAGCGGGTTCCATCTCGTCGCTCCGTCAATTGAGGTATTCAAGAGATGGAACATTGGTCGGCGACGAGCCTCTGAGTGGATGAGAGCCGTCGCAATGAAGAGAGTGATCCGCTCGCTGGAACCTCCTGTCCCCCAGGCCAGCTCCCTCACCACCAAGCAGGTGATGGAGTGGTGTCGGAGAAACGGGTACACTCCCCTGGACCCGGTACCGCAGTCAAGTAGAGGTTTCTGCAAGTACTGCGGCTGCCAGTTGCCCACCTGCTGGGAGGAGACGGAGCAAAGAGAGAGAATCTCGCACTCGCGATGCGCTGACAAGATGGAGGTCCAATCGGAGGAAGAAGACAGGGGCAGAGGGGAGGGTTACAGCGACAGTGACAGTGACAGCGAGCCAATGCAGGAGGAGGAGGAGGAGGAGGAGAGAGGAGACGGACAGAGAACAATCCAACGAGCTACAACCGCCAGAATCGGGCAGCGCTTTTCGACGCTTTCGGATCCTTTCCGGTTGTTTGAGTCGCTGGCATCAAAGGCCAGAAAGCTGCGTGTGTTGCAGGCACAGCAGGCCCGAGACCAAATGGTAGACGTCCTCTCTGTACCGTCGCAGCGACACCAGGTGGGCGAACCTGTCCCCCGATTCCGTGTACCGCAGACTCCGGAACTGAAGTGGGTCCAGCGAACTGCAGCGGCCATCGGGATCCGCATATATCCGGCAGTCATCGACCGGATGTACGCCCACGTTGTGGAGCACATGATCTACATGGCGTGCACCAAGTTTGCGCGTGTCGTCATGGACCGTGCCGTGACGGAATCGGCCCAGGAGGTCGAGGGTGACTCGAATGACGAGAGGTGTATTGTCCCCCTACACATCTACCGTGCAGTGGAGGGCTTGGACTGTTGTGATTTCCTGACAAATGCCTACATGGGTGTCCCTCTGGCTGATCACGACTCATCTGCAGCTAATAACAAACCACCATCAACTACCGATAGAGATAGGACATATAGGGATGAATGATTTTCTTTCTGCCTCGCTGTTCTCTTTCACCTGATTCTAATTTCTTTCTAAAGACGTGTATTATACATTTTTTCAAGCAAGCATGATATTTTTTCCATTTACCCTCTGATGCATGAATGCATTACTTGATGATTCGATGTACCGTATTTTCCGGAGTATAAGTCGCACTTTCATGAAGAAATTTGCTCGAAATTTGACTTATCTGCGAGAAAAGGGGGGCGTTACCGGCGATTTCACGCATGCGCGTACCCGCGTGCGACACGGCTGCTTTCAAGCTTGAGAATACGCTGAAAGAGACACGGCAATCGTTGTGTAGGAAGGGAGTTTGATGTATGTGAGAAGCTTATACGTGATTGGAGATCTTCCATCCCCGCGCGCGATCCCTCGGGAGCGGTGTGGCGGATGTGTACGCGTTAAATAGAGTAACCATACAAATCCGTGTATATATGACAGGCCTAAAGTATGGGTGCTAATTATACTCCGCAAAATGCGGTAGCCACCTAAAAGTGTTGTGTTTCCTAGGCAAAACACAACCATGCTTATCCTACTATACAGTTCCAAGATACACTCCAACTCTCCCACTCTCCCCTGCTTATCTTATGTTTTGCTTGTGAAAAGTGTTAAAAAGCCACTCTGAATGCCTCCTCCCCCTCCTGGCCTCCACTGAAGGAAGACCAGGAACGGTCATCAATGCGAGGGCTGGGCTCTGCAGAGAGAGCTGGCCCCGCGCCCCTTCGCGCTCAGGGGAGGAGGCTACGGATCGTCCTCGTGGCTTGAGGAGTTTCCTCAGTTGAGGTACTGAGGGAGAGACATGTACTATAGAAATGATCCTAGTGAGTACAGTCTTAGGAGTGCGCGCTGTCACTGCGCCTTATAAAGCCCCAGAGGAACCGTTCACTTGTGGTTTCTGAGAACTATGAATAACTTTAACTCAAACACTAAGTGACATCACAAAGACTGACACACCACAGAGTTACTGGTGGAGAAAGTGGGTGGGATGGAGAGGTGCATATTATAGCTGTAAAAAAAAGATAATGGTGACTGAGAGAATGAGGTGGGTTCATCCACTGCTGGTGTGAGTAATTCTTCCCTCCACTTGCGGGTGTATTCTGTAGGGAAATATCGGAGGACATACAGTCAGTGTTATAAACAAAACTTGCTCACTATGGGAGCATTTTTTTTACAAAGGCACAGTTTAGGTGTTCAGACATGCTACTTGCTCCTTCATGCTACTGAAGTGCAGACATGACTGTGTCTACCTTGGTCTTGAAGAAATGGAGCTGATCCTGAAAGGACTGGTGACACGAGGCAGAAAGTGGTGGTGGTGGTGGTTCTGCTGTATCAGCTGCCGACACGACTGGAAAAAGTTCCTCACTTCAGAGTTGAGTATGATCCCAGCCTCGTGGTCCATCAGAATCTTGGCCGACTTGAAAACACTGTAACCGTCCTTGCCTCGTGCTATGTACTCCTTCGTACAAAGAGTGTACGTCCTTTCTCTCTCAAGAGGTTCTTCATTTATCAACACAGTCTTCTCGCAGACCCGGTTGAAGCTCGGCCGGCTGGGGTCAAAGGTGAATGATACTCCGGAGACCTGGGGGAAGCGTCCCTCGAGTCTGGGGTATTGCGACACTCCATTCTCCAGGGCCAGTAGCAGCTGCTCCCCGCTCACCTCCAGCTTCCACAAAGGATCCACCAACGGTAAAATGGTCATTAGGTCCTTACATCAAGGAAAAGATAAATCATGTGTATGTGAGCACACCAACTTTTTGTAATTTCAATATGCATCATTAACAAACTACTGAATATTAAATATTGCTGCACGTCGAAATTGTCACCTTGAATCATACTACGACATAATTATGCATATTGAGCTCACTTTAACCCTGAATACTCCAGCTTCGTGCAGGGCGTCGGAGCGGAAGGTGCCCGAGTTGAGGAGAGCAATCTCAGAGCGAGTGGACGACCTCATGATGTCAGTCACCAAGTTCCCCAGGTTTGTTTCCCCTGTCCGGATACGACTGAACCTTCCCTCTAGAGCACACTCAATACTGGCAGATACAATAGAGAGAGGATTACAGGCATACATAATAGAGAAAGACATTAAAGAAGGCAAAGTATATACTAGCTACCATTACCACACAGTAAAAATAAGCAAGACTTTTTTACAGTAAAAGGTTCCATGTGCACACGCTATTCCACATGCGAAAATATGGACGTCTGAAATCTTCAAACGGAACAAAAGGAGATAGTGACGTACCTGCCAATGGGTTCCTTCATTATGTCCTCCGTGCTGTCACAGTAATTAGCCACCAATGCCGCCATGCCAGGATCGGGAGGGATGCCCCTAGTGATTGTGTGCCTAATTACGTCAAACGTTGGTCGACGGGAGTTCGAGAAGTTGACTGTGATTTGTGAAAAGTCTCTGAAATCTGAGCCACTCTTTATCACTAGAGTATTGTTGACCTGTGAGGGACAGTGGACAGGGAAGTGATAAATAGGAGAGGGCCCATCAGTAGATGGGAGGATGCATAACTAGTGCAATGCATTGTGGCGAGCAAACGCAAGCTAGAGCATGACCTTTGAAAAACCATACAGATTATGTTGTTTAAACGTGAAACATTATGGTATGAGAAGTATATACCTACAGGTCAGTAATATGAATACTGCATGTACATGGCACAGCTCTGAGATGGATTATGTTTGGAGACTGACTCACCATTTCCCTCTGGTAGTCGTGATCATGGCCTCCCAGAATGAGGTCTATCTCGGGGACCTCCCTGGCCAAACGACGGTCGTTATGCCACCTCATGTGAGTCACTGCCACCACTAGATCACAACCCTGGTTGGGGGGTAAGGGGGAGTGGGGAAGAGGAAAGAGGGAGAGTCCGGGAGACAGAAGAGAGGGAGAAAGTGGATAACCCTCTAGAGGAGAAACGGTGCGACCACGACGCACATACGCTAGACACATCAGTTAAATCTTTGTGAAGCTACATACAATTAATGTCGTACTACATCCATGCCTATAATGATGTGTGTAGGTGTAATGGACCTGGTCCTGGAGGGAGGGCAGAAGTTGTCGGGCGCACTCCACATAGTCAGTGAACTCCAGTTCCTCCAGTTCAATAGTAGCCAGAGTCTCCAGCCACTCTTTCTCCACCAGCCCAATGAATCCAATCTAAAGAAGGACACTATTCTGCTGCAATTGATTGATTTAACCACTCAGGCAATACCAACTGGGAATACTGACTGACTAAATATGTAGGAGGTGGTGAATCTATCACTGCAAGGATGCCTCCATTGTACAACTTCCTATACTCTCAGTATATATATATAGGCAGCCCTTGTGAACTAGTAACAAGGAAGCTTTCCAAGCAGTGTAACTACACTCTCTCTATCTCCACTTGCACATCAAATTTCACTGTGTGTATGTATAGCACACAAACCTTTCTGCCATCCCAGTCAAGTACGTGGCTCTCTTGTCCCTCTGCCAGTAGTCTCCCAGTCTGCCTGTCTCTCACGTTGCCCATGAGCCACGGGAACTCCGTCTGGTTGGCAATCTCCACCAGGTGCTCCACACCAAAGTCTGGGGCAGTATAAACGTGTATGAGATACAGTGAAAGTGGGTGAAAATGAAGGGGCAAGGCACCAATTGCTCTTGTTTTGTGTAGTTATGAACAATAATGACAGTGCAGATTGGCCGTTTGTACAAACACCAGGTGTTTTGGGAAGCAATTTACAATAGGAGCACTGCGTACACACAGTCACCACACAAACATTAGCTCTACAGAGACCCAATTCATCAGCTTTAAAGCCGAAATATTTTTCTCTGGGCACAAGGTGCCGCACTGGCTGCTGAGTGTGCACATGATTTCGTGTATAGAAGACTGTGAATACATTCAGGGCAGGTGGTGGGAGTGTAGGGCAAGAATGCCAGGCACTAACTGGGGAGTGAATATTTCTATGATGAATGTGCCACGATGAACGAGGGAAGCAGATACTGGGAAAACACTCTGGTGGGTCCAGCACTGCCTATCCTTCATATACCCAGGAACTGGTCTTATGTATGTCTATGTGCCGATGCTTTTTACTTACTAGTGACACGCTGCACAAGTATTATACGGCTGTTTGTGTGTGTTGTGAACAATGTAGCAGCAATGTACACACACACACACTGTCGCATCTGCTAACAAAATATTGTGACAATGCCAAACAGTATAATATGGATAAAGGATGCTGGCACACACATAATACGGCTGCATCGTTATACTGGCTAAGGAGTATCGACTCACCAAATTCGTGGTTCCCGTAGGTGGCCAAGTGGACTCCCAGGCTGTTGAGGACTGGAACCATGTGTTTTCCTTCAGTCGCCACGCTCACTGCAGAGGGAGAGAGGGGGGGGGGAGGGGGGAGGAGAGGGGGAAAGGGAGAGAGAGAGTAGGGGTAGACATAACCAAGTCAAAAATGAGTAATCAGCCATCATTTGTGGCTTTGTGTACTTACACGCGGAAGGGTTTAGGCAGTCCCCACTGAATACGACAAGCGGGTTTTGCTTCCTTGCGACGTTGTCTACAGCCGTTTTGAAGCGCGCAGCGCCACCTACAGGCTCTTTCTCTCGCTCTTGGACTTCGTACACGTCGTTGAAGTGAACGATAGTTAGAGAGTCGGCCACGTCTCCTTTGGGCGTGGAGGACGAGACTCGCTCGGCCTCCTGGCTGTCCTGGAGGCCTACACTCGAGGCTGAAGACTGGGTGGCAGGAGGCGCTATGCTCGTCATGCTCTGTTGTTGCTCTCGAATCGACGACACCACGACTCTCGACTTGCTGACCGTACAGCCCATGGGAGCTCTCGGCCCTAAGCACCGACGTTTCTGCAGCACACAGGCCGTTTCTTCTACAGAAGAGAGCTCCTCGCCGGAGCTCCGCGGCGTCGAAAAGCTGGAAAGGCTAGAAGGCGTCGTCTTGTCGAACTTCGTTGCTAGGTAATAGCATGAAAAATGCAAATTTGCGCATGCGCAAGTTGGTCATGTGATTTTTATGCGCGTGCGCAGCGATTCATGCCACATTTAGCACAACTAACTACACTTGAGTATTATAATGACACACAGTAATTAATGACACAAGGCAGAAGGCTCTAATTGCTGGTGTTGTTCTTCAGAGCAGGCAACACGTCATAGTCATTGTCGGTGGAGTTCATGTGGGCTGGCAGCTGGTTATAGGCACTATTTTCTTCCGTCACCAGTGCAGTTGATCTGTTGGAGCCTGCTGCAGAGTCCAGTCCCTCAGTGGAACTCTTGTGGGGAAGTTGCTTCAACACCAGTGCACCGGGCAGTTGTGTAGTCGAAGACTCCATGTCAGCCAAGTCTCTCGCATACTTCTGTTTCCTGCAGTGAATTGAAGTTTTCAGAATTTCTCTAGTTAATTATACGATAAGCTCGTTTTTTTTTAAATTCAGCTTCGATCGGATAGAATAAAATGACTGTGCTCACTCCAATGCAGGCTCAGACACACACGATACAATACTGCGTAATCGGGTACTCACAGCTGTGATTGTTTCTTGTGTTCCTTTCTCTTTGAGATCACAACAACGACGACAATCACGACAAGGATTATGATAAGTATAGCCACAACCACACCCACTACCACGCCCACAATCACTGCAGTGGAGCTGCCCTCATTCCTCTGTTGACCTGTGTACAGACATAATTATAGTTGGCACTTGCAAACGGCCGGCTATGGAGATAGTAGTACCTGTAGCTTCTACAATTGCTACTTCATTACAGGAGACCCCCATCCAGCCACCATCACATGTACATTGATCCCTGTCAGTGCATTCTCCATTCACACATCCAGATGAGCACTCAACTGCAGGGAGACACAACAAAATTAATGTGAATCATCATACACGACAGCATCAGTCACAATCTCTGTACAGTGGAATCCCTCAAAACCAGACAGGTGTCTCTATTTTAAATTAAATTGCATGCAAGAGCTAATTCAGAACAGTTTCTTTGTCATGCAGCTTTGTGTCCCTTTGCTGTGTACTAAAAAACCCTCGTCTTGTTTCTTTGAGTCATAACTTGAGTATGCTCCACTCACTGGGTACGACTGCAGAAACACTGCCCACTTGTGCTCCAGGGAAGACACCAGACCGTCTAATCTCCTGTGCGGCCCTCTCCAAGTTGCCCAGTGTCTGCCCGATACTGAGTGGCTCACCAGAGCTGTCCACCTGGATCACCTCTATGGTAACACTGCAGACAGAGAGACAACATGGCTCTCTTACTGATATTTCAGGAAAAATAGGTATGTAGTTATGCAGGTATACATACATGATATTACATGAATGGGCAAAGAAACGTAACTAGGGGCAAAGGCAGAAAAGAACTTTACTACTCGGGCATTGCATCTGCATAAACCAAGATGTGTGTTTTATGTAGAGACTACGTACAAGGTACTAATACTGATAAACTTGTATATACCTAATTGCGGGCAGTGAGGGAGGGGGAGTTGGGCGAGTCAGAACAGAAGTGTTGGAAGCTGTGCAAGACTCCACCAGTCCAGACTGGACCAGTACCTCACACAGCAGTGGCTGTATGACAGGAGGTGGACTGGAGTCACCGTCAGCACAGTCCCAGAACAGGCCGTAGCGAGTACCTCCGTCCTCGAGGCGGAGGAAACGTGGGGAGCAGAATGTCTTGGAGAAAGTGTACTGCAATTCATTGGCTGGTGACTGCTGCTGATTGGTGGCTGCCTGTTGCTGTGAATAGGAAGTAAGAATAGGATGACGTGGTATGAATACATGAAGCAATTGATTCCTTGCACATGAATGCGAGGGTCAACACAGCAATTCTTATATTGTTTAGCCCAAGGAACAAGCAAGAAGCTTCTCATAATCAAATCTCAACAGTCTTGAAACTAAAGTCAAACCTGCTGTAAGAGAGCTTCTCTATAGTTGACCAGCAGATCGTCCAGGAACCCCACATGGACCTCCACTCTATCCACAGTCAGGGTCTCCTCCCCACTGGCCTCCAGGCAGACATACCCACCGGGAGCCTGTAGACTCTCCATACACAGCTGCCCCTCCACACATCGACCAGGCTCTGCACACGACGTCGGATACTGACATCGGTTCCCTGTGCTGTCGGCACATGTGCACTGGAAGAATCCAGGGACATTTGTACACTGGCCGGTTGGCCCACACGGAACTGTATATAACAATTAGATAATCGTGCTAAAACTCACAGGGACATACAAAAAGTTGCTTTTAGAAAAAGGCCTTTGTCGAAAGCTTTGCACGCATGTATAGCCAGACTCACACTAGTACGTCTTTTGTTGTAGTTCTTTATAGCCTTCCTTTTTCACTTGTATCTTACATAAGTGTGTTATTCTCCATAGGTATAATTATCTCCCACTTACCAACAGCTAGGCATTCGTCCACATCCGTCATACAATCAACCCCGGTAAAGCCCTCGAGACATGCGCATGAGTAACCTCCCTCCACACTCTCGTCCAACTGACAGACACCACCATTACCGCAAGGATTGGGGCTACAGCTGCTGATCTCGCACAAGTCATCAGCCGATAATATACCGGTGACCATGGTTGTCACACCAGTCAGAGACAGCAACTCCTGCATGCATGCACACCATTGCAACAGCGTCAATAGTGCAGCTAGTACAGTCCCTTGGTTTAAAGTTACCTCAATGGTTTCTGGGTCAAGGTAACGACATGTACCATCCGGACTTGTCAGGTCCACATTGTTGATAACGATAGCAGCAACATCATCTGTGACTATATGCACGCCATGGAAAGTAAGATTCAAATTATATACGCTGTAGGATGCTTACCAAACACTACTAGTCTTGTGTCTCTGGTGGTGCTACCAGCAACATTAACAGCCACGCAAGAGTAGTCCCCCTGTGTAGAAACATCAGCCTTATCTGTTGTAGAAGAGGCAAATAGTATGGTTAACAAAACACAATTCTCAAACCTACAAGTTGTATCAGTGTGTCAGATAGAGTGTGCTTACCAATGGTGAGAGTGTTTCCAGTAGCCACCGTCCCGCCTTGGAACTCCCAGCTGATGCTAGGAGCCGGTGTCCCCACTGCACGGCAGGTAAACTCCACAGATGCACTCTCAGAAACAGCAGTAGGCTCTCGAAGGAGAGTTATGACAGGCACAACTGCAGTAGTACAGAAATCAGTGAGCAGAAGCAGTTAGCAAATACATTCTCTAAGTAACACGCACCCAGTATGTTGACAGTGTAAGTAGAAGTCTGCAAGCTCCCCGCCTCTGTCGTGACTTTGCAGGCGTAAGCACCAGCGTCCTGGTAACCCACGCTTCGAACATTCAGAGTTGCCTGCTGTTGCTCGTCAGATAAAGAGGCAGTCAGGTCAATGGCACTCCCATTAAAGATCCACTGGTAGATGGCCGGGCTGTTGCGTGCTATGCGGCAGTAGGCAATATGGTCTTCACCTAGTACCACCTCAGTATTGTCTGGAGTGATTTCTACTGAGCAGAGAAGTTTTGCCGACACTTCCCCAGAGGACGGGTCGATTGTGTATTTCTGCAGGAGACATTCCTCATCAAACTGAACTGTGAGTGTAGCTGTAGACGTCAGTGGGGTAGCCCCTTCATCTGTGGCAGTTATTACGACCCGAGTCTCAGTCGAGCTAACTCTCTCGATGCCGTTCCCTGCGATGGAAAAACGAATTTCACTGTTGCTCCCAGCGTCTCTGTCTGCGACCCTGGCAGTAGCTATCATCTGCGTGTTTGATTCTATTGCCTCCGACGTCATTGCAAATCGGATTGATTGCGTCTGAAATTGAGGGGCATTGTCGTTCTCATCTGTTACCACTATATCCACTGTATCGGTTCTCGATCTCCCGGAACCGTCGGTTGCACGGAGGACCAATCTGAAAAAATTGTTTGCCTCGAAATCCAAGTCTACATTGTTGCGTACGACACCGTCGTGGAGTCCTATTCTGAAGGTATCGTCGGTGTTTCCATTTATACTATCAATGGTGTATGTGATCCATTCTGGGTCATCGGGAGTAGTGGTGTTGTCGATATCAGTTGCCATGCAGTCGACTATGAGCGTGTCTGCAGGCGTATTCTCAGGTAGAGTCACGTCCCTGCAATTGCGCCCAAAACGAGGGGCACTCTCGTCCACATTCAACACGGTAAACACGACCTGTGCGGTGGAAGTCAGTCGTGGGGTGCCCCTATCGTTAGCTCTCACGGTGATGGTTACTTCGGGGAAGGACTCAAAGTTGAACGGGGTAACGTGTCTGATTTCCCCTGAGTCAGAGTCAATCTCAAAGAACGGTAAACCAAAACCCACTGTCTCTCCCTCTTCTTCGAAATCGTCTTGTCCCAAAATCTCGTACAATACTTCACCATTCAAACCCTTGTCAGCGTCATTAGCAGTAACAGTGGCCACCACCTCGAAAACGGGGGTAGTTTCAAATACTAAAAAAGAACTGATTGGTGCAAATACTGGGCCATTGTCGTTCTGATCTCTCAAAGTAAGTGTGCCAACTGCATTGGAACTGCGAACAGGATTGCCCATGTCCCTGGCTGTGATTGTGAAGGTGTATTCAGGCACTACTTCACAGTCCAAACCTTCCATGGTTGATATTTCTCCAACTGTATCGTCGACTAGTTGGAACAGAGATGCTCCGGACGGTGGCTGAACGCTGAACGAAAAGCGTATGTCGGCGTTTGTTCCAAGATCAGTGTCCACTGCAGAGAAGGTCAGGATCGTCTGTGAAGGCTGGTTCTCAAAGATGTTGCTGGAATATTCACTGTCACCAAACAGTGGCGAATTATCGTTGATGTCTCTGAGAGTGATTGTGAACTCCTTGTTGGTTTGAAACGAAGGGGACCCCCCATCACGAGCAAATATCTGCACAGTCAGGGACGAAGAAGGTACGGGAAATAAATCGGTGAGTAGCTCTCGATCTAAGACGGTCGCTGTTCTTATCTCACCACTGGTGGAATCCAAGGTAAAGTGGTCTTGGAGATTGATTTGTGTTGAAAAGGAGTAAGTTATTGCATTGTTTGGAGCAGTGCCGTCACCATCAGTTGCATTCACTGTGCCCACAACTACTCCACTAGCTTGCTCCTCATCAATGCTGAACTCTGTCGGTCCCGAGAACTGAGGAATGAATTCGTTTTCGTCCAAAACATTCACGAAAAGAGAACCCGTGTCAATCTGTTCACCGTCGCTTGCCTGGATTGTCAGCGTGTAACTGGAAGTAAATTCATAGTCTAGCTGATCCACTAAAGAGATGTCTCCACCATCACTGATGGCAAACCTTTGCTCGCTATTACCTGATACTATGCTGATAGAGACTGTGGTAAAGTCTGGGTCACTGGCAGAGAAGCTTGCAACTATAACTCCAGTTGGAGTGCTCTCTGATAAGTCAATGCTCTGATCCCCACTCAGTGTTGGTGGAGCCTCGTTTACATTGAGGACACTCACCACTGCCGTGGCCGTGTCCGACATTTGGGGAGAACCCTGATCGTCTGCTCGTATAGTCAGAACGTATGAAGAAAGAGCCTCGTGGTTGAGAGCAGTATTGACAAAGACCATCCCACTGTTGTCTATGCGAAAAGCATTTCCAGTATTCCCTTGAGTTATACTGTAGACAATGCTCGAATTGTCAGTTCCTGGTTCGTCTGCATCAGTAGCAAAGACTGTGAAAGCCAATGCGTCGACTGGCTTGTCTTCTCGAAGGGAAACGGCGTAACTGTCAGGGTCGAAAACTGGTGGGTTGTCGTTTATATCTGAGATTTTGACGGTAACGGTGACTCTGCTAGAGAGACGAGGTGATCCTCTGTCCCTTGCTTGTACCCTTAGCTCCACGCTACTCACCTGCTCCCTGTCTATGTCAGCTGCTACTGAGATGGCACCGGTTGTAGAAACGATGGAAAAGAACCCCTGAGAGTTTCCACCTCTTATAGAGTACCTCACATCCCCATTCAAGCCACTGTCTGCATCCGTCGCAAGTACAGCGCTAAATGCACTGTCAATGTTTGTGTGCTCCTGGATGGTGAAGGTGTAACCGTCTGCCTGAAATACTGGTGTGTTGTCGTTCACATCAGTTATATCTATTCGAGTCTGGACACTGGTTGACAAGGGATTGTTGTTAGCCGTTACTGTTACAAGAAAACTTCGACTGTCTGGATCTTCATAGTCGATATTTTGAGTGATGCTGAGAGCTCCATTGTCGGGGTTTAGTCCAAAGGGAAGGCCTGAGATAGGGCTGAGGCTGTAGGTGATCTGTGCATTTGGTTCCGTGTCAGGATCTGTGGCAATGTACTGCGCTATGACTGTGTCCACGGGCTCATTTTCAGGTATGCTAATCTGCATTGGGCTTTGCACAAATGTGGGTGGTACGTCGTTTTCATCCAATACTGTGACCCGAAATGTCGTTGTGACAGATAATGAAGGGGTCCCCCCATCGGCGGCAGTCACAATGAGGGTGTGTGTATCTCTAGCTTCCCAATCAAGCGGTCCTATAGTTCTCACGGTACCATCACTGCCTACAGAGAAAAGCACCCGAGCATCATTTGGAGTGATTGTATAAGTGATGACACCATTGGGAACTGATGGTAAGTCGGGATCCACTACTTCAAGTCTGCTACCAAGAGCTCGAGGAGGGAGGTTCTCCGTGATCGATGCAGTACAGATGTCATTGCGAGCACACTGTGTGCTCCACTCTGGCTGTTCGTTGACATCGTCAATATTGACCACCTGAGTAGCATTTCCACTGACTATGGTACCTACACTCTCTGCCTGTACCACAATGCTATACTGCATCTCGTCTTCGAAATTGAGCCCGCCATCGACTAATATTCTTCCAGTTGTTGCTTCTATCCTGAAAGGGACATTGCTGCTGAGTAAAGAGTATTCGATTTGTCCAGCACCGCCGGTTGCAATTATAGTGGTTACTTCGTCGCCTACCGATGCCGTCTCTAACACAGACACTGCTGCCAAGTCGGGGAAAACGATCCCGTTCCTACCAACCCGCACATTGAGTCTGAACCGCGAGCGCTGGCAGCTATCGTCCACATTCTCTGCCACTATGGACAGACTGTAAAAGGAGCTGGCATCGAAAGCGAGCCCCTGAGGTGGAACTGATATCCGGCCATTTCTTCTGTTCACACTAAACACACCACCTGTGTTACCTTCAGTGATGAGATACTGAAACCTAGAAATATTAATGAAAAACAGCTTACACAGTTGCTGGCCACTAAAATAAAACTGCATGGTTCTTTCTTACGTGATTCCATTGGCTCCGGCATTGAAATTGGCAGAGATCTCGTACACGGCTCCAGTCTGTCCTTCGAGGACAACAATCTCTTCTTCAGCGGGAGAAAACAGCTGGTCCCACACCACCACTGTGAACTGGTTTATCTCATCCGCACCTCGGACCCCAATGTACACAACCTATATACACAAAATGTATTTAATTGTAACATTGTGCTATGAGGATATTGACACTATCCTTTACCCGTGAGTTGGTGTTGGCCAGAGAAACAACACAGGTGCGGACGGTAATACCAACTGTATTGTTGACAGCAGTATTGCTGGTCAGGGGTCCTGGGTTTGCCTCTGTCGCCGAGCAATAGAGAAAACTGGTCCCAGTGTTGTCGTACAACTCCACGAGGACCATGTTGGAGAAAGAGTCGCACTGGACCTGAAAGTATCGGATCCCTCCCTCGGGGACCTCTGTCGTCGTGTTGTCGCCTGGATCTATGATGGCTGGAGCTGCGTACAGAGGAATTATCGTGCCACTGAAAATTTCCCACGGTGACAAGTGGAGCTCTAGTCTACACACAGGCTCTTCACAACTGGAAAGAGTGAAGCACAAGTGCCATTTCCTTATGCGGGTCTCTGCATGCACAATACCAACTACTACTTGAATAGCTGTCAATTCAAAGTCACATGCACTCAATTCAAATCAGCATAACAGACACATGCATTGCTAGGCTGTAGGAGAAAGTTAAAAAAAGCAACAGCAAACAGACACAAAGGGGATGAGGTGCCATGCAATACAGATGCAATAGAGGTGTTTCTTACAATGGGCTATAATAGCATTGGGTGACTAGTGTGCATTTTCTATTGTCACTCTATTTACACAAAGAGCCTATATAAGGTTTCACGAACAACAATGACAATAGAGTGCCGTCCACTTCGTAACATTTTTCCACATGCTTACCACAATACAAAATGTGAGTGGGCCCTGCCTAATAACTTACTGTCACATGTCTGGATGGTGAGAAAGTCGACGAACCCAGCCGCATCGTTGTAAGAGTTGAGCAGAAACACATGCTCAATGTCCGGGTCACTAGCTATGAACTGAAGTTCATTCACATCAGGGTTTGCAATGCCGAGAGCGTACACCTGTATACCAAGACTCTTGATGTGCGGAACAGCATATGTTAAGGGGTATTGGTTGGATTTTCCGTCCGTAATGAGAAGAGCGACTTTTGGAATACCCCTGGAGGTGGGGCGAGCCCCGCGGTTGCTGTCTGGGTTGAGGAGAAAGGCCGTGTCGTTGAGAGCCAGTGCCGTAGCTGTTGCGCCGCCCCTGTAATTAATATTGCTGATTCTGACGGCCAGAGACTCGGCAGTGGTAAAGTCATTGAGGTCAAACTCTACGTGCGAGCGGCGGGAATAGGCAACAAAGCCCACGCGAGTCGCATCCGGCGAGATGGAAAAATACTGGATGACGTTCAGGATAAAGAGGATGGCAAGAGCATGATTGTAAGATCCGACACTTCCCGACTGATCGAGTATGAACACAAGGTCCACATTGTTCTCACAGTCTGCAAAGAAAGTTAAAGGTCACAGTTATGATAAAAGCTTTACAGTAGCTATGTAAGTGTGCTAGCTCCACTGTGTAACATTATAGTAAATAGGCCTAAAGGTTTGAACTTTAAGAACTTACTGTCAGGAATGACACTGAGACGGACGTAATTATTGCTCTGGTAAGAAACCCAGTCGAATGCAGCCTGCACTGCATTGGTGAGAAACTCTGACACTCGACGCTGGTCTTGAACATACACACGAATAGTCCGACCTGGATTGTGAGTGGAGGCCAAGTTCATTTATAGAGGTTTATACGTTGTAATGTGCTGTTTTACCACAATATTATATTCACTTTTCAATCAGATATTCAACATGATGATAAAATGACGCCAAATGTTTGCTGAGCTTAGTTCTTTGTTTGTGGTGGTTTCGGACCAAGTCAGCTAAGAATGAACAATCTACAATCTATATATGTGAGCTAAACATAACTGGTTTGTGGTCGGGTCATAAAAGGTGCACATGAAGAATTGCCATTCTTCACCAGGGAAAGGCTCTTGTTAATTTGTTGCATTGTGAGAGGAAGCATAATTATAGAAAAATACACACGTGAACAATCCAGGGACGGCAGCTTATTCTTCATTCAAGGCCCAATTCTCATTCTTGTGGAATTGTGAACGTAAGCAGTTAAAAAACGTTTCAACAGATAGCTATTATTCGCTCCATTTTGCATAAGAGCATTCTACATCAAGTTCCCTCACCTTCATAGTGCAGGGACTGGCTGTCCGCCACATCACTGTCGGGAAACTCGCTCCAGGCCTTGCGAACGGTGAAGGCTCCGTCGTAAATTTCCCGGAGTCTGTCCAATCGCGTCTGCATCCTGGACGTCATGCGTCGCGAGTCGGACGTTGCGAACGTTACGCGCGGGTTCGTGTTGAAGACCAGCTCGTTCGTGAAGCGGGTCGAGTCTCGACGGATGTGGTCGAAGATGGGTCTGCAGACGTCCGTCTCGGGCCTGTCGGGGTACCTGTCCCCCTGCAAGAAGGGGATGGGTATCGGTTGCTGGGAGTAGTCGAATTGTGATTGCGCCAGTACTACTGCTGGAGCTTGCAGTAGCAGAGCAAGGGTCGTCGCAGTTGCGAGGAGCAATGAGTTCGTCGGGAAGACCATGGTCGCGCCGATTCTTTTCGCATAAACCCGTCGCTTCACTTTTATCCCCGCGCTGCGGAAAACTCGCGCATGCGCATGACCAGACCATATGTGGGTGTGGTCTCATTGTCCCGTCAAATTCATGTAAGGCAGAGGGTGATTCCTTAAGCGGCTGTTATTAGATAATGGCCTACTAGCAAACAAAAGGCAATCTGCACAACGTAGCACAAGCTCTCATTACATATCCTATAGCAGGTTTTCCTTAGCCGGCAGCCGTCTCAAGTGTGTAAAAAAATATCCAGATTGCAGCTAAAAAAGGAATTATCCCACATTGTGTTTGTTGGATAACTGAGGGTTTAGTAACAGGTGTTTGGTTAGATACAAAATATCAAGATTGCTGAATAAAAATGGACATTATCGTGCAGTTTGGCTGTTCAGATAATTCCATATGGCCGAGTAATTAAGGATTATGGACATTTCTGGTATCACGTTCCAGGGAGTAGAGAGCTGCCTTCAGGTTCTGAAGATCTCCCACAAGTTTCTTAGAGTTTGCAGCAGTTCTCTTGACTTGAGTCAGGATCTGCATGTCCTGGTCTCCGGTCAGGGATAGCGTGAGTTTGAACAGCTGCTTTTCCACCTCTTTCAGTCTCTGTCGCAGGAGACGCACGTCGTTTTTGTATCCCTCGATCTCCAGCCCTTTCCTCTTTTCCAGAGCCTCGTATCTGGCGTTCATGAGGTTCAGCCGCTTCGTTAGTTTGTCGGTTCTTTCCTTGAAGAGTCCTCTCGATGCCTCAGTTTCGTCTTTGACTCTGGCCAACTCTTCCTCCGTCGCGATGCACTGCTCTCGGTAGTTTTCCCCCAACTGCTGCGCCTGCTCTAGCTGTAACTGTAGCTCCTTGACAGGTGGACCGGGGTTCCTCACTCTATTGCGACGGCAGCGGCTGGGCTCTTTACTAATACTCACACCAAGTACAGGGTCTACCCCGTGACTCACGTCATAGTCCTCCCTCACCTTGTCCAGTCTCTGGAGGAGGCGGTCTCTCTCGGCCATGTGCTGCCTCTCCGCTGCCCGAGACGTGTACTTGAGATCGAGGTAGTCTTTGGTACTCTCGTAGAGAAGCCTCTGGGTCTTGTGGAGCTGTTCGTCGAGCAGTCTTATCCTCTCCGTGTCTCTCTCCTGCAGTGCCTGGTATTCCTCCAGCCTCACTCTCCTGTCCTCCAGCAGTGAGTCCACCTGCTCCTTGCACAGCCTCGTTTGCTCCTCGAGCTGTGCTTTTAGACTCTCCACCGTCAGCAGGAGGGTCTCGTGGTCCTCGTGTGTGCAGCATTCCTCGTTTTCTTTCCTGCTGCAGTCGGTTTGTGGTTTGACTGAGATCTTGTGTCCCCCAGGGCCCCTCCCTATCTTCTCGGATGTAGGTTCGGAGGTAGAACAACTCTTTTTATTCCTGCGGTGTTCCTGGATCACCACCCTGGGTGCCGACTTGTCTTTGAAGAAGTAGGTCGTTTCTCCCTCCACCACCGGCTGCCTAGAGAGGGAGAGGAGGTGCTGGATCCGCTTCCTGTCCTCCAACTCTTTGATCTTGAGGCGGTCGTTCTCGGCGTAGAGACGGAGCACGTGCTCTCGCTCTTGAAACAGGAAGACCTGCATGTCACTCAGGGCCTTCTGGAGCTCGGCTATCTCCTCCTCCCGCTGTCTGATCTCCCACTCGCTCTTGTGCACGTGCTCGTACGTACATTTGTACTTCTCCAGTTTCTTGAGTAGTTTCTCGTACTCGCCGTCATATTCGGCGATCTTCTGGCGGTAGTATTCCAGGAGCTCCCGCGACGGCCGCAGTTGGCCCAGCCTCTCGTTCAGTGGCGGTACGCCGTCCAGGAGAGAGTCCTCGTTGCTGCTGCTGCCCTCGCTGTGTGTGCTGCTGCTGATGTTTGACGCCATGATGATCTGCAGTTGAACACTCGTTTTTGAAATTATCTGGCGGCGCGCGCCGAAATAAGTGGGCATCAATTAGAACAATAACACACGGCACGCCCTCTTTTTGGCTCGGGTGTGTTGTCGTGTCTTTACGTGTTTAGGCCATACATCCATGGTTTAGGCATCCCTGTCAGAAGCTAAGCGTATCTCTGAGACACGATGAGCTACTACCACGGCCTGATCTCCAGCAAGAGAGCCAATTCCATCCTCAACGAGCGCGGGAACAGGACGTTTCTCATCCGGGACAGCCAGAGCCAGCCCGGCTGCTTCGTCCTGTCCGCCAAGTGAGCCGTCTCTTGCTCCTCCCGGGCCTCTGCAATGCGCTCCTGTTTTGTAGTAAACTTGTAGTCTTGTATGCAAACTCTACTCCGCCGCTATGTAAACTGTGGACCGCTTGTGGGCGTTTTTTTGGGAGAGCAACAGAAGCACACAGTTCAAGAAGTAGCATGCAGCATTTTTTGCAGCTGTATTGTCAATACTTCTGACTCTTCACCGCACACAGGTCGGGAGGGAAGGTCTATCATGTGCTGATATTCCACAAGGGAGGCGAGTACTCACTGGATGTAGCTGGGGAAGGGGGTGCCCCTGCCGTTTTCTCCTCCCTCGACGACCTGGTGGTGTTCTGCATGAGCCACAAGATGAGGATGGAAGGAGATGAGGTGGGAACTGGTGCAGTGTGTACAGGGCCCATTCATCACATTGTGCAGTTGCAAATCCTTTAGTATATAGAGTGGTATACAGTTCTTTATACTAACATGCATGATCAAGCTGCTTAATGGATGCATTATTAACTTGCCAAACTCTCATGTGCCTAACCTAAACTATCAAACAATTTGGCAAATTACTCACAATAAGTATAGTTAGTATGCAAATAGAAACCCCACTGTCTTCATCTAATGGATACTTATCTGTTATTAGTTAATTAAGGAATTTGTAGACCATTTACAGTTGAAAAAATAAGACTGTAATCAAGGCACGACATTACAACAAACGGTGGGTGAAAGTGCAATGCATAAAAAAGTTATGAAAATCTGCATCATGTATATAGGATGATTGACGTTGAGTCATGAAAGCCATTATTCTACAGTATTGTGTTGGCCACATTGCATTATGTTGTGTTGTGTGTGTGTGTGTATCAGGTGAGTCTGAAGGAGGTGATACACTGTGGAGACGAGCCGTTGGCCAACGAAGATTTCCCAGTTATGGAGACCAACGGTAGAGTGGGGGCAGTGTATGGCACTGTATTGTCTAGTCAACCTAGTATCCTACGTCAATACTCCATTGTGTATACATGTAGGACGGCAAGAAAACAACAACACGTCTTGTCACACGTGTCAGAGTATATATATACCTTTTGTGTTTTGCGTGTTCTCGTGTAAGCTCTAACACTGCTGTGGGTGTTTGTCAATGGCTGCAGGGTCTAAAGAGGTGGAAGACACGGACCAACTGACTGACTTATTCCTCTCTCTCTTTGGGAGACAGTGCTCAGTGGGTCTCACCCAACATACACACACACACACCAGTTCATCAAGTACATACATAGAATAGAGGGAATCCATCAAGGGTCTTCTCAGATTTCAAGGATCAAGAGCCATCTGAGCAAAATTTATTTTGAAGACCATATTATATTCACACTACTAGGACAAGCATTTTAGTCATGTGTCGTGCAAAAGTCCTTGCAGCAAGGTGAGCCCATCTAGTTGTGTGAATCACGCGATTATGTATTTGTTTGTGTATTTGTAGATAGTGTATACTGACCATGACGTAATGCTTATATACCTCACTCTAAATACAGTAAAAGCAAATTTCACACTCGCGATCACTGCGTTGTATACATTTGCAGGTGGTGTCAGTGGGACACAGCTCTCTCAACTTTGCCGGTCAGCCTCTGCCCAGTGGGGAGGAGAGACTGGTCATCCTGGCGAGGGACAGACCCCAGAAGGCCTTCTTCATCAAGGTCGTTGACCCTCAGGTGAAAAAACACTTCCCTCTCTCCACCCACACTTTTACCTAAAATTTACCTCTCAGCTTTCGAAACATAATATATGCTGTAGGGGAATGTGGCAGTATTATAGCAGAAAAATAAATCATTCTAGAACTGGGCTCTATTGTTTAGCTTTAAATGTACTGCCACATTCCCTTTAAGTTCATGTATCCATATGCACTATCACCGGTGCATGTATGTACGTTTGCATAATGCTTGTCTGTATGTATGTTTTACGAGGCAATACGCCAGGCATGGGTAGAACGTGTGGGCGATGGGTTTGTCTTTGTGTCAGAGTCAACACTCTGGCAATGGGACGGGGGTTGCTAATGGTGTTTTGAACTTAGTTTGGGTGACAGGAGGACTGCAGAATTGTACATATCTCTGGAGCACACACTTACAGGCTTAGGTTATCCAGCTCAATTAGCTGTTTCTTACATTGCAATAACACACCGCAAGTTGAACTTGACACTAAAAGCATTATCTCTCCCCCCCCCCACACACACACACCCTACACAAACACTGCACACTAGGAGAGGAAGGTGATTGCTGAGAAACGTGTCAACAAAAACTTCCAATATGACACACCTGGTGAACTGGTCATTACGTATCTCTCGGAGGTGAAACTGCAGCTTTGTAACTTTCTAACAGCATCATACTGTTTGTGTTTGCGAGATGTACACTTTTTGATTGCCACCCTTTGTTAAACAACACAACACTTACTCTGCTGTTGCAATAGACTTTTCGATGACTGCTTGAGATGACAGCACAATCTTTTCTATATTCATAATATGATGGCGGTATATACATTGTCCAACTTCTTCCTGTATACAATACTATTGTCCACCATCTCTCTCCCTCCCTCCCTCTCTCTCTCTCTCTCTCTCTCTTCCCATGGTGTCGACCGATACCTGCAGCATGGTATAACGTGCATCGGGTTCCGTGACAAGGAAGAGAAGGAGAGGTTCTGCCACCAGTTGAAGAGGGCGGTGTGTTGGTTGGGTGAGAGAGCCCAGAAACAGAAGGAGAAGGTGATGGAGGCAGGAGAGAGACAGCGGAGGGGAAGAGATGAGACAGACAGCCCTGAACACCAGTGAGTAGTGAGAGTGAAGAAAGAGAATGTCAGTGAGGTTTTACGGGTCTTATCGCTTATGAATAGTGCAGATTCTCATTACAGTGACACACGTTTTATGTGAAAACTCTTACTTAGAATGAAAACAAATCACATTCATTGTTACCTTTCATTTTTACTCTGGTTATAGTGAGTCAACTGCATTATATCTTTCTGTACCTTTTTGCAGGTTTGTTAGAACAATGAAAGCCGAGGATTTTGATGTAAGTGTTAATTCTGCTTTCCACTTGTGATCTGACACAGACCAATAGACAAAGGAGCTCTAATGCATATTATGTCGAGCATTGTCGTTAACTCTGTGATTGTGACTGGTATATAGCTGGGTAAAGCATGCCTACTAACAATATCCCTATCCTTGTCGGTTATTCCTGTCATCATATGCTTATACGCTCGAAGTGCTGGCCTTACCAACTCCTCACGTATGACTTCAGATCCAGAATCACGAGCGTGTATTGTGGGCATGTGTACACTGTGTAATGGAGATGTCGTCGTGCATGAACTCCTGTAGATTGACCACCTGGCTCCAGAGTGGCAGTACCTGTTTGACATGGCGGGAGTCACCCGACCAATGTTGGAGGATCCAGTCACCCTCCAGTTCATCCTGGACACCGTCCTTAAGATTGGAGGGGCTCCCCACGATCTGGAGACAGTGCAAGAAGAGGCTCTAGATCCAGGTGCTCACTGAGCATAACCTAACTCCTCTCTAAGGACGCCCTTGAAATTCAGATATGCTAACACCCGAGATAAAGAACTAATATAATATTATGTTGACGCTTTCATCTGTTCCACTGGTAGAGAAGGCCCCAGTGTATTAAGTGTATGTATGCTGCAAGTGTGTGTGTTCCTTGCAGACTCGATGTCCAAGGAGGGAGGAGGGAGTGTGAGGTGTGGAGGTGCCGAGATGAAGAGGGAGAGGATGAAGGTGCTGGCGGTGGACCACGCCCTGCGGAGGGAGATGCAGCGAGCCAGCCGCCTGGCCGAGGAGCTTCAGAAGGTCTCCATCGCTAGAGACAACCCCCTCCCTCTCCTCTCCCCCGGCTGTGTCTACAAGGTGACAACCACACATACATCACTGCTGAATCACATGCTCAATTAAATTTCCTCTCACTAGAGGGTTAAAATAGAGGCACCTTACTTTCGTGGATTGTTAGATTATAGATTAACATTCTTGTAATGCCTCTATACCATCAGCCACCATAAATTGTGTCTGTGCGCATTGAGGAAACTCTTTTCCGCTGAGCCGAAAAAATTCACAGATTGAGACTTACTGCCCAACGAAGACTATGTGTCTTCCAACTGTACAGCATATCTACCAAATTAAGACCTGCCAGCAATAAAATGCCTGTCACTATATACAGTACCCTTGTATTGACTCACTTGTGGTTATTGCCACAGAGCCAGTGTGAGAGTTTCAAGGACCACCTGATGGTGAGGCACACTCTGGTGGCCATAGGACCGGAGAAGGGCTCCTGCTACTGTCAGGGACTGCGTGGCCGGGAAACCCATCGTCCAGGTGGCCGGCTCTCCTCCTCAGCAGTACTCCCTCCCTCTCGGATGGTGCCGCTTCGTCCACAGGTTATCCACCTCACAATAGCAGGCTATTTGTGGGTGTAAATACGGTTGATGATTGAGTTTGGGTGAATACTAGTACCAACTTCTTTCGTGCTTGTGCTTTGGGCACTGGTTCCTTAGTCTCCAGTCAAGAGTTCCACTTCTGACTGAATTCAATCTGTCCCTCTCTTCCAATCTGAAGCAACAGTCTCCTCTGTCTCTTTTATGGCTGTAAATTAGGGGTTATATAATAATACTAAGAGGCCACTTTCTCCCCTTCACTGCCACGGCGCTAATGTGCCATCAAAGTATTTTGTCTCTTTTTGTAAGTCTCTCAGGAAGAAAGTGACATAATAGATGTGTGTTTTAGCCTAGAAAGGAGTTGTTGCCGTTGGTGTAGAAAGTATGCGTTGACGTGTGTATTGTGAAAAGGGTGTCATCTCCCCCGTTCACGATAGGTCCCAGACCCATGTTCTGGCCCAGCAGTTCCTGTCGCGGTGGCACGTGGCCTACTGTGCGGTGCCGACCACCAGAGTGGCTGGAGTGATGAGGACAGGTCAGCTGCCCACCACCCACTCCACCGGGGAGGTGGTACTCAGTCCCGACATACAGACTGCCTACATTGTCTCCCCCAGCACCCCCATGAGGTGGGTGTATACCTGTCATGTGATGACTACGAGGTATATAGACAGGCAAAGTCACAACAAACAAGTCAACTACACCCGGGACAGCTATTTTTTTCAAGGAAAAGAAAAGACCTGCCATAGGTGGGATTCGAACCCACTACACGAACCTACGGCACTCTGCAGTGTGGGCGAGCTCTCTGCCAACTGAGCTATATACCAGAGATGTTGATCTGGATTCAGAATTAACAATCAAACTCGGCGCATGTTCATATTTGCGTTTTAAATTTGAGAGATTCCAAGTAACTTTGTTCTATGCCGCGGTCTCATACTTAATAACAAGCACCATAAACATACAGTAAATGCATGACTGCCTTTTGTGCAAGATATTAACTTAGTGTGACGTGTGTGTGTGTGTTTGTGTGTTTCAGTTATGAAGATGACCTGAGTGGGCAGCATTTCAAAGTGAGGACGGCATTTCAGGTAATAATAGAGCCTTCAATTAGACACTCTATAGTCTTAAAATGATGTCACCGCAATAGGCAGTCTGAAGCTTCATCTTGTCTCTCTAACCTCTGCAGGTGTACATCCAGCCAGGTTCCTACTCTGTGGATGCAGTGAGTGAGCAGAGCAACTCGCCCTCCCAGTCCCAGCTGGCCTGGACTGCCCAAGGACAGACCTACGTCGTCCATGCCCTCCTTGTCCAGATGATCCCTGTCACTCCACACACCAAATGAAACACTCTGTCACTGTCTACAGAACACTGTTTATCTATATACCACCGTCATACAGGTTTTTATGCTGAGAAACTTCACCAGTTTTATATACACCATTTTCCATTCTGTCATTTTTATATACATCTGATTTTTAATGGAAGTTCGAGAAAAATGTTAGAGAGAAGGGGAAGGAAGGGGTGTGTATGATTATAGTCCTGTGTTTCCTGTCATGTGACTGTCAGCTGATGGAGTGGGTAATGAAGGTGACTCCCATAACTTGTAGTCCTCCAGCAGAGGGAGTAGGTGAGGGAGAATGTGAGGAGACGGTTTTTTGAGGCCCAGGGCCAGCGTGAGATCGTGGCCTGGTGGCAGGAGGAGGTGGCCTGCTATTGCACGACCAAATACGTGAACCTCTGGCTAGAAAAAAGACAAAGCATCTTTCGCGATAGTTACATGGGGAAACAACCAGACAAAGGAAGGGAAACAAGAGAGAGAGAGGAGGGGGAAATGGATTGCATTGCATTGCATTGATTATCACTCATTGAGGTGAGAAAGAAAGAGGGGAAAGAAGATTTAAACATGTACTCTGGTTTGCTTACTGTGTCCAACCCCAGTAGTGTGGAAACTGAGAATACGTGCGCCGATGTTGCAGGCATGGTTTCCTGACGGACATCCAACTGTAGGGGTGAGATAGAATAGCCTGTACAGCTTCTTGCTTCATTGTACACTGCTAACTAGTGTCCCCATCTTCTGTAGCTCTGAGATGAACAGAAATACTCGATCAGAAAACAATGAGCACACCACGTCCAACTTTCTTCCCTCAATTTCTATCTTCCCCTACAGTTTAGTAAAATTTTCAGTCTTTGAAGTGGTGAAACAGATACGTATATACCTGCTTCGACTTCACTGCAGAGCAGCTCACAGCCATTCTTCACGGGGTTTACCACGTGGGTGGGGCTGATTTTCGCACATGCTCAGTTTGTTCGCTAACGTCCGTAAACTTGAAGTATCCTGAGCTTCAGCTCACACCTTTGGCACATGTTTCGTGTAGAAGAGAACGTGATGAGTAAGCTATACGTTGGAAACATTCCCGAGGGAGCTAAAGAAAAAGAGCTCAAGGAGCTGTTCGAGGCCTTCGGAAGCGTCGAGGAGGTCGCTTTGCTGAGAGGTTACGGCTTCGTGGTGAGTTTCGTGGAGGAGCGCTCTATTTAGAACTTTCAGACCCGGCTCGTGTTTTGCAACCTTTCGTTCAAACCGGAGGTGTTTTGCGCTTGACCTAAGCCTTTTTTGCCGGTCAGCGTTCCATTCTAAGCATCGCATTGTCTTTTTAAATGTGCAGCACTTCGTCAAGCAAGAGGATGCCAGCGCAGCGCTGAACGCTCTGGACGACTCTGAGTTTCAGGGTGCCCACATCCAGGTCCAGGTAATCCCCCACCTGTCACACACTCACTCTTTGGCACACATTTCACTGCATGTATTTCTATATACATGTATGTGCAAAGGCGGCAACGTGGAAGAGTGATGAGAGCATTCGTATGCAGCGAGTTTTACACCCTTCGTGATGTGTACTGCGCTTTTAGTACGTTTGTGACCTGTTCACCCACCTTCCTTTTCCATTTGACGCACACCCCCACCAGTTCGCTCGCACGAAAGGCCACGGGTACGGAAGAGGCAGTGGACCACCGCGACCTCGATTCAGCGGCGCCGGAGGAAGAGGGTTAGTCTATCTCGACGTGTCACTCCGTCGACTATCTCGTCGCCACTCCCTCCAAACTGTCCCATTCTTCTCTCTGTGTTGTTGCACGTGTCTCTCTCTCTCCCTCCTCTCTGTCTGTGTGTCCACATCGATGGAGCCGTAGTCAGTACGTGATTGGAGAGTGTGTCGGCTCGCCTTCGCGCCACCTGATAAGTTGACCCCGCCCCGCCCTCCTCGGTGGTGGCTGTTTCGTGTCTCGACTCTCTGTGTCCGATTTCAGTTTCCCTCCGTTTTTACTCGTGTTTCGGGACCACAGCACTACAGTGTGGCCCTTAGTAAGACAGTGTGTGTACTCTTACGTACTTACAGGCTTACAGGTGTGTTTCCCAACCTCTATCGCACGCTGTGTCTTACGTTACACTCGTTTCCCCCGAGCGTGTTCGTCTGTATGGAGCCGTGATCGAATGAATTCTCGTGTCTCGAGTATTGTAGTTTATGCACCATCACATACATGCAGTAGAATTGGTGGGCAAAGGACATGTGGATGTATTGTTGTGCTAATGTGTAAGTTTACATAAGCGTGACTTGCAGTCTCTTGTTCTCTCCTCTCCTCAACTCTTTCCCCTCAACCCCACACCCCCCACCTCACACCGCTATCTTTTAGATACGAAAGAGATGGTGCGGGCAGCAAGGGTTACCGCGACGGATATCGCGAACGCGGAGACCGCGACCGTCGCTACGCCTATGACGATCGGAGCCGAGACTACCGCAGCGGGGGAGGGGGAGGGGGAAGGTACGAAGACTACTACGACCGTTACGACCACCGCTACGACTACGACCGCTACCGGTCCAGCTACGACCACTACCCAACCGAGCACTACTACGACGATCGTTACCGGGAGCGAGATTACTACCGTGAGCGAGACTACTACAAGTACCCTGACTACCGTGGGGGAGGAGCAAGTGGGAGTGGGGGAGGACTGGATGGAAGGGGACGCAGCAGGAGCCCTGGACGAGAATACTACAGTACCAAAGATAGGGCAAGGTGAGAGGAGACACCTATATACAGTGGAACCTCTGAACAAGGGACACTATGGGGCCAACAATTGTAGAGAGGTCGTCCCTATCTCAGAGGTCAAACAATACACTAAAGTATTAGCATGGGGTTGAGTAGAGAGGTCGTCCCTATCTCGGAGGTCAAACAATACACTAAAGTATTAGCATGGGATTCAAGCAAGTGTCCTTTGTAGAGATGTCGTCCCTATCTCGGAGGGGCCCTTATTGGATGTTCCACTGTAAACTCCACCGTGGTCTGTCACAGTTGTATATATATTTGGGTTGGGATAAGATTTTGAGAATCTAGACATTTCGAGCCCCTAACACCATAGAGATTCTACTAGCATTTTAGGATTCCTGTGCAATTTTTAACACCAAGTTTAGTTAACTAAATGTTGTATACTGCAGGACTGGTTGTGTAGAATCATTAGCGTAGCAAAAGGTTTCAATTATATACCTGTGTCACTATGCATGTGCATTCACAACAACCTTTAGACTACAAAAGCCATAATGGTCCAACTTTCTCCCTCTCTTCAGCAGCAGCTATTATGACAGGGACCCCGAGCCATTTCGCTCCCGGAGGTGGTAGCAAGTACACGCCGTTTGCAGCAGAGGACATTACCACTCACCACTAACGCACACGTTTCTCTCATTTATGCCCCTGATGAATTTGCTGTAATTATTTCTGACTTTTTTTTTCTACGCTATATAATTGATGCATTGGTGCTATCTCAAGTTAATCTCGTCTGGCTCCTTGTACCCCAGTTTCCGGAAGTCTTCCTTTGTCATTAAGTCTCTGGAAAGGGAATAGTATATTAGGTATAGTGGGGGTTGTGCATTGTGCATAGAGAGATGGGGTGGGGGTAAATAAGATTTACATACAAAAGTCAGTGTGCGTACTGACTTATGAAAGGAGAGACATACCTATCCATTCTACACTGGAGGTATGCTCTGGACTCGTCTCGACACAGGCTGTTGTCACTACCCTTCTCCTTCAGACACGACAAGAACTTCATCATGTGATCCCTGCACTCTCCTGTGCCCAAAGAGAGGCCAATGATAGGTCTCGAGTGGTTCAATAGAAGCATTACGGCTCTACCAGCGTACCATCGTGGTCCAGAGGAAAACTGCCTTTGTCTGGAGGCTTTGGCTTTAGAGCTTTCTGTGAACCTATGGGCATGATGACGCGCGTAAAATCATTGCTGATTCAGCAAAACGGCTCACGTGACCCACGTGTGCACTTTGCTTTGGGGGAAAGAAGACAAGATGAGCTCGTACAGAGAGTTTCTCGAGGAAGCAAAGATGCTGACGACTGTGACGGACTCCCCCGAGGAGGAGATACAGATACCTATCACCGTGCCACACTCCCGGCCGCGGGGAACGTGGGGTCAGTGGATGAAGGAGTTCACTATCCCTCCCGACGTGCTGGACCTCATCGTACGACGCTATGATTCCAAATCGTGGAGCGCCACTGGCGGAAGAATTAGCGAGAGTGTGTCTAGAAGTGGCGAAGGAGCGTCTTCTAACATCACAGTGCCCTCCTGGAGCAGCGTGACAGCGGGCCCACGCGCCCGAGACGATCACGGTTCGAAAGAAGGCGGGGCTACCTCTTCTATGCGCGGGGTTACACGGTCTCGTCCGAGAAGTCTGAGTAGCGGCCGTGCGCGGGCTCTACTGCAACGTCCGGAGACCCCACAGGAGTCATCCCGGAGGCCAGGGGAGGTTAGTTAGTTTATACCGCCGACGAACCGTCCGCGATGCGTGCGCGTGTGTCTGGCGCGACGAGCACACGGCTCGTTGCGGTTCCGGAATGCCGCCGCGCCTGCACCCGTACGATTATTAAACGCACCAGAGCTCACAACTTTGATCGCGTTTCCTGTGCCCTTTGCTGTGGCTGTGGGTCCCCCGCCTGCACAGCCGCTGCTGTTTTTGAATGGATCTGTGTTTTCGACCAGCAATTCAAACAGCAGATCCTAAAGTTTCGCGCTCCGCATGGCTGCACTCTGCTGCTGCTGTGCGATATTGATACAGTGTGGCAGTGTTGGATTGTGCACAAACATCTCATTCTAGCCCAGACTAAACTGTGCGCAGGGTTTGTTTAGCCAGCCCAGCCTCTGTTTTGTAAAAGTGGATACTCTCATCCATGTTTTTCTAGCCCAAATTGCTGTGTAAACTCATGACACACTCTTGGTTTCCCCCTCATGTTCTTATCACACATTTTGATGTTGTGAGTCATGCCAAAGTGTTTGCTTGAGAGGAGATAAGTAATGAGAGGGAAAAGCACTGATACAGCAAGTCATGCATTACCTTTCTGATTGCAAACAATGTGCCCACAATTTTTTGAGCATTGTTTTTTTTTTTTCCCCTATGCATTTACTTTGCTGTCTATCTGGATCTGTGTGTCCGGTCATAATGTTGCAGATTGGGAGGTTATCCTCTGCCAACGAGTCTCCAACGAGTCCCGAGAGCAGGCAACCACTGGTGCGTCCTCAGAGACAGAGACAAGCTCCTCCTCCTCCTGGTTTTAGCTCTCCCTCACCTCTCTCCAACTGGTAAGAGAACCGTTACAACCTACACCGTGTGTGATCATGGGACTGGGTGGCTGGATGGCAGCACCTTCCCTTGGAGGATGGCTCACTTTATCAAGTGTGTTCCCATATCCCCTATTCCCTATCTCACTCCAGCTTCTCCTGTCCTCAAGCCCGAGAGCTGTTCTCACCACTATTCCTGTCACTTAGCATAGCTACATATATACCAGACTGAGCATGTGCATATGAACGCTTTCACTGTCACTAGCATAGGGCAACATATATCCACGACTGAGCATAGTGCAGTATGATAACGATTCAAACTTCACTGTCACTAGCATAGGGCATCCTTTATACCCAACAACTGAGCATGTGCAGTATGAACGATTGTGAAAGAGACTGTAAAAGTATACAAAATAGCTGAGTGGCTCTCTCGCAAATATTGACATTCATACAGTTAGTTTTTTAAAATAAGGTTTTAACCGACTTTCCCCGTATAACAATGTGACTCACTACAACCATTTCCTGCATTTTGCCACTTGTAATTTGTCCGTGACGAATGCAGATAAATTCTTCTGGTCTGTGCAGTTATTAGCACTTCTACAGCCAATGGCCTGTTGAATCCATTCAACAATGCTCACGTAGTGGTACTTTTGCTTCCTTTTCATGTGGTCACTCTACAATTGAGTATGATGTTGTCATAATCTCTGATTGTCCCTGCGTGCTCTACGGTACACTGACATACATCCTGCAGGATAGTAGACGTGAGCAATAATCAGCGATGTCATAATAATGGTGCAAGGGTAGCCATGCGTGCCCTGCCATGTGGTGACCCCGCCTCTGGACTCTGTCGAGAGATCCTGTTTTGTCTGGTGTGTATCGCTCTCTCTCTCTCCCGCTTCCTTCTATGCCCCCCTCCTTCTCCACCACTCTCTCTTCCCTTCATCACCCTCTCCCCCATCCCCTCTCCTCTGCCATGATGTCAAGTTGAAGCTATGTGTAATACATAAGTATGATGGCCATGTATTCCTTGTTAGACAGATATAAGAATGGTGTGGCCAAAAACTCAGGAAGTTTTTAAAGTTAGATTCACATGGTATGCGCGGTGTATATACCCGAATTCATAAATATTTTCCTAATGTTTGGTACACTTGACGTTGTCTCGCTCTCAGTTTTGCACATAAGCCACTTAAAAAATAAGCAGTAATTCTGTGTACCAATACCTTAACAAAACACGCAGCCGTTCCCTCATCAAACTCCAAACCAATGCCACATGTATACCGCCTTACAAATAAACCGTTTTCCTTTTTTAGCTCTCACGAGAGGGCAATCTGGGAGCCGTTAGATTAGATTGTGGTTAAACACGCGTAACTTGTGACCCATCCCGATAGAGGTACGTATCCCCAAGAGGCAGGGAGTGAGGGCAAAAGAGGAAGGCCACAGTGCCAACAGTGAAAGGAGTCCCGCTGCCATTTATCAGGGCAGTGGGCTGTTGGTGCACCCGGCGGCGTGCCTGTCAACACTGCAAATGAGTGTTTTCGCTGGAGCTCTGTGTATTAGGAAAGTGATTATCGTTTTTATTTTTCTCTGCAGGCCACCCGTAGAGGTGTCACACAGACTCGAGCAAGCCTCAGCGGTGAGTGCCTGCCAGGCCCGGTGGGTTTGTTGTTGGCTAAGAGAAGGATATTTTTCTGTTCTCGTGTGTTGCAAAAACTTCAAATTCCTTCAGTTTTCCGACCTTGCGTGTGGCACCGGCCCCCTGCAGCAGTGATTGTGGGACGGTGATACTAGACTTTCGATCCGAGTGGTGTTACTATAACAAACTTCACGGGGAGGAAAAGCTTTCCTGCATTGTGTTTTGAATAGTCCACTAGCAGGAAAAAGTGTAGGGAAGAAGGAGTTTGAATAGCGAGAGAGAGAGAGAGGGGGGGGGTGATGTAGGGAGTAATGTCTTACCATCTGATATTAACAGGGGATATTCTAGTAAGGTGTGGATAATTTGTTTTTCATTGGGTTATTGCTGAGAGACCCGCCGTTTAAAAAGAACTGGTGGGTGTTAAGAGGAAAAGGGATCGGAGAGAAGATACTATATAGCTGGGAAACGTGAAGGTGGGAAAAGGGAGAGGATGAAGAAGGGGAGTGTGTAGTAAGTTTGGGAGGGAGGGAGATGTGTGGAGTGTGAGAGGTGGGTGTTAGGGGAGTGTAGAACGAGGGGAGAAAGTAAGAAAGAGAGAGATGGGGGAGTGGGAGTGTTTCCCGTGTCTGGTCTCCCTCATGTGACCCCATGTCGTCATCCGGTGTGTCAGCAGAGCAAAGGGGAGGATAGAGGAGGAGGGAGAGAGGGGGAGGAGAAGGGTAAACGAGGAACATTATAGCCCCATTAGCAGAGTATGTGCATGCCCCTGTACGCTCTGCCGTACTGCCCAATCTGTTCGTTGGAGCGACCTCAATCATTCCCATGACTACACACGCATGTTTCCGAGTATGCGTCGCCACCTGTTTGCCTAAGTGGGTAGGTTCAAAGTCCACCTAATCACCCTCCCCGGGCTCTCTTTCAAACCGGCTTTAAAGCCCGCAGCTGCACTCCTGGGCCGATACTCATAGCTTTGTTACCGTTGAAAGGTTTGCATCATTGTGCTACATTGGGGATGTGTACGGTTTGCTAACGACGCATGAAATCAAATACTTTTTCACAATCCAAAGCTATTCAAAGCACGCATATTTGCAGACATGATTGTCGACTGCAGTTGTGTCTCGTGTACAGGCACTATCTCCATCTCTAGCGATATAACAAACTGAGCCGGTAACGGCAATATCCAAATTGTGTGTTGTCAGAGTGACAAGTTGTAAAAACTTTCACGCGGTGAGTAAATAGAGCCTTCTCCTGTGCGTGCGTGCGTGTGTGTGTGTGGTGAGGGAGGGGGGAGGGGGAGGGGGAAGGAGAGGGGACAGATCTGCCTTTGTCTGTGGAGACAGGGATGTGAGCACTCGTGTCAGCAGCCAAGTTGTGTCCACTGTCATATGGGAATTATTACAATACATGCATGTCCAGAGACCTGTTGCAGGTGTGTACATTAATCAAACTCTGTGGTAAATTATACTCGCTCCAAATAGATGATTACAAATTGGATTTCGCTGCTGTTTTTGTTTGTTTGTCTCTGTGAGTGTTTGTATCGCGGGCACGCTCTGTTTTCTGTACAGCCGACACACATGCAAGGATTCTCTAAGTGGCTTCTAAAGTGTGTTTACAAATGTTCGTCTTAGAATGTACGCCAGCAACAAATATACTCGGTCAGGAGCCCACTGTTATAATACTGTTTGCCACCTATAGATTGAATTGCATATATATATACTTTTGTTGTGCGTATTATAAAACCTTTGCTGTTTATGGTTTTTCATAGTAGCAAGGGTAACTTTAGTAGAGTACTGTGGTCCTATAATGTAAACTCTGAAATGCGGTATTATAGTCGGGCTTTGATTGTATGCCAGGGGTATTGGATGTGTAATCCCTCTCACCTGTCTCGGCCTGCCTGCTGCTTGGTTGGTTAAGTAGTAACAATATGTACAGTGTCACAGGCACGGGAGGCTTGCAACATATTAGTCACTCCTACCGTCCATCGACTTTGAAGATCTCACGCTCGTTGACCGCAACGAATACGATTATTAAAACCGCAGCTATGCGGCTGTACTCCTGCCCAATCACCCCTGACGTCTCTGATTTGCACTCTGTGTACATTTGACTAGGGTTACCTGAGCCTCAAAAAGGCACACGGGTATGTGGCTTGCTTACCTTTATAAAGATTCAGTGATACTCACTGTATAGATATGGTTAGCTCTGTGCTGTTTTACTGGAACCGCCTGTTCACAACCAGTGTTGTGTTTTTCCTTCATGAGTAAACAAGCCTGTCTCTCATAATGTTAGGAGTGTAGGTTTCAGGTTGTTAGCTACACAAGTGGTGATAATGCCCATTGTGCGGGTCTTGTTTTAGTGTGGTGTCCTCTCAGTTCGCTTTACCCACCTGCACCCACAATCACGCGCACTAAATGACAGAGGTGGGTGGTATTTCTGTGCGTCGGGTGTTTTGCGTGGTTCGCTAAGCTGTTGCGTGCACAGGACTCGTGCAGCTACAGCCTTCTTCTCACTGTCTCGGGTTTCGGTTCGCTGCCACGACAGCCGTAATGTGTGCGTGCAGTCATGCGACAAATTACTACCATAAATGTATTGGTTTGTGTACGTGTGTGCAATACACAGTGCAGTCGATATGTGGAATGCTAAGCGGTGAACGCTCCGTTGTTGCGATACGGACGAGCGGGTTTTTGTCAACTTCTCGACTTTTTAATCACGCATCAATCGCCTGTGGATAAACCCATTGTCCGGCAGTTTACTAATCCCCAATCAGCCTTGCAATCACACTGCATACAAACTAACCATCTCTCATTTTGACCTTATTGAACACTACCCAAGTTTTAATGTGTTCGATAGATAGTGTCCAACTTTTGCGTTTCCATTTCCTACTTTCTCTCTCTGAATGTTATTCCTTTGATTTGTGTGTAGGACCTCAATGGTGGCCGTGGAGTGAAAGCGAGAGGTAATGTATGGGAACAAAGGGCTCTGAAGAGACATGAAAACGGAAGGGAAAGTGGACAAGACCAGGTCACCGAGCAGGAAGATCCCGACGTGGTTGTGGAGGGAGAGGATCTTTCCGACAAGAGCTCTTGTTTCTTATCCGCACGTGACTCCCAAGAAGAGGAGGAAGAGGAGGACATTTTGGGGGTGTTTTGCGCAAGAAGAGAGGAGACTGTGAGAGACGGTAGTCAGGTGGGGGGTGAAGTCGACTTGATAACTTGGGAGGATGATGAAGACGAGAGAGGGAAAGAAGTTGTTTCCGATGATAGAAACGAATGTACGTGGAATCAGTTACTCAATTTTTTAGCACACTGCATCTTTGTAAATGCAACAGTCCTGCTCAAGGCCTCTTTGACTTACTGCTGAGATCTCCCCACTCTTGTCTCGTCTATTCACATGCTGCTTCAAACTTGTAAATTCCCTGCTCAAAGTCATACATCAGCTAGTGTAATGGTGTGTGTGTGTGCATGGGTTGTATGGACATTGTATGTTTTGACCTCAGGTCCAGAGTGTGGTGATGGTTCTCTGTCACTGCCTACCCCAACACTGGCCTCACACACTGGAGAGGAGACCACAGAGAGTTGCTGGGTGGGGGACAGTGGTGGCTCTGTGAGGAGATTGTACAAGAGGGAGGATGAAGAGGTGTGGGAGAAGGAGGGAGAGAGAGAGGAGGCAGATGGAAAAGAGGAGAGAAGGGAGAATGAAGAGGGAGAGGAGGAAGAGGAAGAGGTGGTGAAGATGAAGTGTGGTTGCACGCTGGACAAGCTGGAGGCACACATGGGTTGGGGATTCCGGTGTCAGTGCCCGAGAGTGTGCGGTGGGAGCGCAGACCCCAAACTGCCTGTGAGTGCTGTTTTCTCATTCCGTGCATCTCTGTTTGGTGTTCCCAGTCGTGCTGGCTGGCCTGTCGCGTAGTGCACGGCTGCACCATGCGCTGTTTACTGCTCCCTGGCCCTGTTGCAATAAACACAACCAGGCTAATTTATATACCCACTTTGGTGTATGTCTCTTGTTCAATCTACACTAGATTGTCACACTTATCTCTGTCACTTATCCTTTTCTTTCCCCCAAATCTCCGCTGTGTTAGCCGTGGGCCAATGATGACCATACATTGGTGCTGAACAACATTCCAACCAGTGTGTCTGAAGAGGTGCATCCATTTGCCAGTCTTTGCTGTTTTCATCACTGGTTTTTGTGTTGGATTCTGTTTTTTGCAAACAACTTGAACTGGGGGAAATGGGAAAATCGTCAAAGTTTTTTTTCTTTTTTGTTGCAGGACTTAGAGGAAGATATGCAGGCGTTTGGAGAGGTTTCAAACTGCTCCATTTTGACTCTGCCCAACGAGGCTGGTTTGCATACTGCCTATGTGAGGTAATGCATGAGGTAATGCGGAATAGACCATGCTGGGTTTGGGGGATGTAGTAGGGCCACTACAGGCCATAGGTCACTCCTGTAGTGGTTTCTGTTTACACAGAGCCTACCTCACTGGGCTTTATCCCAAATGAGCCCCACCCCTACCCTGCTCCACCGTCTCTGCTTGTGTTTCTGACTCTCTCTCTATCGTTTTCCGTCACACTCAGGATGAAGGAAAGAGAAAGCTGTCAGTGGGTTATTTCCTGCCACCAGGGCATTCCGTACGGCAACGGTAGGTCCTTGAGATGGTGAAACTGCGGCTATATAATACATTTGGGAATAAGTCCAGTGCTGTATACGCTGGGCACTGCCTGCGGTCCTTATTTTCATAACTCTCCCAGTACATGTGTCCCTTCCCTGCATGTAACTTGTTTTCAGAAAGATATGGAAAACTGTGGAAGCTCCGTATGCAATACACTCCAGGTGCACTGCCCCCCCACACACACTGCTCCCGTGTTGTTCATGGTATGTAGGGATGTGTGTACAGGTTAGGTCTCCTCAGTCATTCTGACGCAGAACAAAACACCCTCTCAACGGTGTTTTCTAGAGAGGCCGCCGAGATTTTGCAAACTTTCTTCACGAGCTCTGTTGCGAATACTTTCCCAACAGGGGCCTCGAAACCAATGGTGTGCTACAGGCTGCAGCAACAGGAGTCTTCCCTGGGTTTCTAGAGGAATATTTGATGGGGAACCCAACCTCATTGCTACAGAGATTCCCAGATACTCAGATAAAGCCACAAAATCACACAGTACGTTTGCCGTATTAAAATGGCTACGGTACAATCTAGACTGCCACTGTTTATAGTTATTCTGTGATAATATCTGCTTATTTTAGTCGCTCTGTTATTAATTTGTGGTAGGGCAGGCTGCGAGCTATAGCTATTTTGTAAACTTCTTAGCATCTTTACACCGATTCCGTGGGCACCAAGCAATAATTCATAGCACACTTGTGTTCATAAACTCGTTAGGTTTTATGTTTGCCTGCAAAAACAGTATAAAAAGCTCGCATCATAACTTTGTTGAAGCGAGAACGAAAAAAGTCCGCGCTGGAGTGGTGAAAACGCGATGTTCCCTCGTTTGCGCTGCGCCGCGCGCGACGCACGTACAGCCAATGCTCACCCATAAAAACGAGGGCTTTATTATTTTCCGCAAGCATAGGTTTTTGTTTTCGATTCGTATTTTTATCAACAGCATGCCCGTCGCGATGCAGATATCCGCCGAAGCAGGATCGCCGAGCACCGCAGAGTCCCAGCAGTGCTCCGCCGCGGTCACACCGTACACCCAGAGCTGCGAGAGAGAGATTCGTCTGGCGCTCGAGAAATCGCTCAAGATGAGCAAGAGTGCCAAGGCGACTCCAGAGCCCGTCGCTACTGTCCCCGCGCGGGCGATCCAGCCGAACAAGGCGTACTCGGATGATGGAGACGATAAGATGAAAACTGTGAAGCCGCCGTATTCGTACGTTGCGCTCATCTCCATGTCCATCCAGGATGCTCCGGATAAGCGACTGACGCTGAACGGCATCTACGACTACATCACCAAGAACTTTCCGTACTACCGCAACCGTGAGAACCAGGGCTGGCGCAACTCCATCCGTCACAATCTCTCGCTGCACGAGTGTTTCATGAAACTCCCGGCAAAGGGCGGCAAGAACGGCAAGAGCCACTACTGGGTTCTCGATCCAGGCCACGAGGTGCTATTCGAGGAAGGCAACTATAGACGGCGGCGAAGGCGGCCAGTCAAGCGGGTGTCGTACACGCCAGCCTCGGCGTGGAGCCACAGCGGACGGGCTTACCACCACAGCCCGTACTCGCACGTGGGAGCGGCCGCGGACTATTACCGATCGTGGCCCACCATGGACTCCTCGATGTTCCAACCGTACTCAGCCCTGCCCACTATCAACCTGAACCACAATAACAACGCCACGTCGGTCGCTCAGCTGCAGTCGCCCTCCCTCGCTGCGCCCTCCCTGACGCGCACTGCAGACCTCGGCCACTACAGTCAGTCCGCGGCCGCCGGGTCCGCGTACACTCCTTTCGTATACTCCTCGAGGAGCATGGAGCCCCAGCGTTCCTTGATAACGCCGTATCCACCGCCGCTAAACTTCACGGCCTACCCCAGCTCCGCCGGAGTTGCTGCAGCTGCTGCCCAAGGCGCGGCAGTTGTTGGACCGTGCAGTAGCGTCACCTCCGCGGCCTCCGACCTCGTCAACAGCAAGGCCTCGAGTGGTGCAGATTTCACCACCCCAGGTCACTCGACTGGAGCCGCAGTCGCCAGCTCCCTCTGGTCATATCACATGCAGGTATAGAGACTCCTCCGCCACCCGAGGAACGGCTTTGTTTCGGCTGTTTTCTACACAGACTTACCAGAAACAGACTGAGATCATAGCAGTAATAACGCTGGTATAATATTATTATATAAGAGAGAAGCTACAGTGATTTAGCACCATTACCGCTGTTCCACAAATCAACTCCTCACCGACAGGCATTTTGTCACTTGTTTTCTTTATGCACTGGTTTTAATTCACACACATGGTTTTTTTGTGCTTTTGCAATAATTTTCTCACTAAACGAAGTCTAGATAATCCGACAACGAAAATTATTTTGAACGCAGCATTGCAATAAAGAATGTCTTGCATTCCAGTTCAGTTAATTGTGCAGGCCTCATTAGACCAATAGTGAACGGAAGTTAAAACAGTATGAGACTTGTACTTTGATTTTCCCAGCGGTAACTAGCATTTTTATGTACTGCAAGCAGCAATAATACAATAATACTTATTATAGCCTGTGACGTCATTAAAAATTTATTTGCATGTACAAACCATTACATTGAGATACCAAAAATAGTTGGGTGTGTGTACATTATAGTATAAAATGAGACACGGTAAACTATCTGTTGTTGGTCCAATGCAAGTCATCGATGCGAGGCTTTACTCCAGTCACTCGCTCAATCAGACTCTCGCAGGTGGACCAGAAGTGGAGCTTTTCCAGCGGGAGGTTTAGCCAGCCTGTGGTGATGCAGAAATAGGTGTCGTGCGGGGCCACGTGGTGCACTCTGTGGTGTCTCTTGGGCAAGATGACGTGCATCTGTTGGAGCCACTCCACCCACATCGGGAGGGGACCGTACGTGTGCGACCACTTGTGGATCTGGTTCGTGAACGTGACAAAGAACATGAGCGACATGAGCATCACGTAGACAAAGTACCACGAGCGAACTTGTTCGGGCGTCCATGCCACCGTGGTGTACAGGGCACAGCCCAAGGGAGCCAGGGTCAGCAGACAGTTGTCGCCGTTTGCTTCCACGAAATCGTGTCGCGTGATGGCTAGAGGATCGATATGGTGCTCTCTGAACGGTCGAATGAATGCCTATTAAAAAGAGTGCGTGTGTTCAAGTGGAAGAAGAGGGGGAGGGGAAATTACCATTATTGCAGTAGTTGGAAATGTTTTGAGGGTTAACTTAATCTCTATTTGCAAGACCAAAATTTATAAATTCAGCACAGTCTTATCATAGAACATTTCCCTCTATAAACAAATAATGAGGAGGGTTGAAAGGGCTGTTCAATGACGCTACACATATATACAAGTATAAAAGTGTATATAGCACTTTGAAAGCTGCAGGCTTGACAAGAAACAGGGGTTATCCCTTTCACACCTCTCCGGATCCACCCCTTTAAAGAGTTCCGTATGGAACTATGGGATACTAGTGAATGTTGGTACCACCAGTCGAATTGCACACCGACTGGTATATATTCACAAACGAAGAAATGATTATGAAATGGAAGAAACATAGAATGAAAGTGTGAAGGCTTGGTGGAAAAAACTGTGCATGGTTGAGACGCCACCTTGCACAGCCCAATGAGCTGATACAGAGCTGTTTTGAAAGTCTGTCCATGACTTTTGCTTGCAGGATAGTGGCGGTTTGAGTTTATTCACAGCAGGCTTGGGGCACTGGGCCTACCTATATAGCCTCATTTCGAGCAGGAATGGAGGGACAAAGACAATTGGTTGTGTGCCGAAGGAGGCAAGGGGAGTGAGGGGAGGAAGGTGTGTGTGGAGGGAGGAGAGGGAGCGGGAGGAAGAGGGAGGGAGGTACAGGCGGTGGCACGACAGGAATATGCCTGCTGTTAAATGATGGTGTCTAACAGTACACACCCAGAGATAGTGCCCGTTTCAATCGTCAGCTGGTTAATCAGTCCCTGAGGTTGCACTTCCAACCTAAACTGACTCCAGCTGTCTTACAGAGAAAAAGAGCTGATTCTGCACTGAAGCATAAGGTAAAGTGTACAGATTGCTGATGATCCATCGGAAAACACTGGCCCTCTTCTGCTGAAGGTCTATATATAGGTTAGGTCTATGATGTATACCTGTGGAACACAACAACAGTTCCTCCACCTTCTCCAGTTACTATAACCCTCTACCAACCCAAACACTGGAACCTGGTTCGAATGGGGATGGGGAATGGGGATGGGGAATGGGAATGGGGAAGGTCAAAGCGGAAGCACACAACTCTAACTGAATACTTACAGACAAGAAAAACCCAAGCATCATTCACTATAATTATGAAAGGTATAGGAGGAGACTTAGTGGGAGTGGTTGAACATAGCCCCAGGTGTTGGTCCTGGAGCTGGGAACATGTCTGGGGACAAGTGAGCAGGTCACACTATTAGCCTCGCTCTCCTATTCTTTCTGACCTTCAAACAGTCATAGTATACTAACAGAAAGGAGGGCTAGCCTGGGGGTATGTGGACTGTATTCTCTAGCATGCACGAGGTAATGCATGACAAATGAGGGTGTGGCAGTGACAAAGAGGCTGCCTCTTTCCAACAGTTTACAGTAGTTGTGTGAGGTGTTAACGAGAGTGCCTCAGGAACATAAGCATACATGGGGAGTGTACAAAGACGCTTATGAATAATAATGCAGAAAAACAAGCCGATCTTCTAAAAAAGAATTGCTCTGACGAGGGATTGAACAACGGAACAACGCAGCATCTCGCAGATCTGTCACTTACGTAATTTTAGAGGGATTTCAGGGCAAAAAATTTATGATCCCTGCCCACAAAACTTCCGAGAAAACTTTTTTAAAACTTTTCCTCCTCAATATTTTACTGCAATACTATATAGAAGGTGATGTATACCTTTCCGACGATGGGCAGGTCGACTGATCCATAGCTGTCAGCCAGCCAGTGTACAAGACCAGAGAAAAAGTCGGCAAATGCTGCTCCCAGAACTAAAATGGAGGTGGAGAAATGATGGAGGAGGGGGAGGGAGGAATAGAGGGGTTAGAGGAGGTGTGGGAGGGAGGCGAAGGGAAAATAGAGGGTCACGGGGAGTGAGGGAGTGAGGGAGGGAGGGGGAGGAGGGAGAAGAGGGTAGGGATGTATGTACTAGGCACAATAATGGAATTGCAGATTCACTATCCAATACGCAGTATGTAAAATTTTTGTCATTTCCAGGAGATCCCAATGCTGAAAACCAACTCCCCAATACAGGGGAAGTCTATTATACCACTAGTGAACCTACCTTCACTTCAAGAAACCAATTAGTTGTGCATGTAGCCACTTTATGTTTCAGTCACATTCAGGACACCACTGTTTCAAAAAAATTCCTCAGAGAAACCAAAGAATTGAGTGGACACTAGTTGTGGTGAACCCCTCCCTAGGGGCACCCCTCTAATAAAGCACCTGCATCAGGACACACCTGTTATATACACATTGAATTGGAGGGGATCAACTGCCTTGTAATGAGTCCACATGCAGTTGACATGAGAGAGATGGTTAACTACATTCATAGTGGGGCGGAACCTAATAAATATGCTTATGTAAGGAGTACAGTATACTACTGTGGAAGAGAGTAAACTGTAAATTGTTTTCTCTGTGAATTTTTGTGGTAGGGACTATTGTGTACTGGCGGAACTTGCGATCTGCTCCGCAAATTCTCATTTGGCACTGAGTTTTCCTCCCATGATGGTATAATCCAGAAAGAGTGACCAAAAACTTGTCCTAAGACTGTATATACTGCTCATAAGCATAAGCTCCTTTGGTCCTCGTGAGCTCCAGAGTTTCTCACGACAGACTTTCAGGCTCCTGGCAATTTCAGTGCTGCCCGTTTTGAATGTAACAGCCCAGCTTCGAGAATCCTTTCGACTTACATCTTGGCTACCAGTATAATGACCCTTTTAATGCCTCTATCCTGGAAGCACCTGTGTGTGCATCTTTATTTTTGAGCTACCTTTACAAGCCCTCTGTTGGTATACAAAGCATCACTTGTTATCCACAGTGTCCCAGCAGTAGTTCACTCATATATACAAGGAAGGCACACATACACACACACACACTCACCGATGCAGGGCAGGAAATAGAGGGAGTCTGTCCACTGGAAGTGACGGTAGAGGGTTGACAACAGTAATAGGTTGCATCCTACGCACAGGGCGATACTCAAATACTCGAGACATCTCTTCCCTGTGTATATAAGTACCATAATACAAACGAAAAAGTGCTCCCGTGCACACAAGACTTTTTAGGAGAAAAAAAGACAACAAAGGTTCCCCCTGCTATATATAAAGTAATAGACATGTTCATATACAACCCAATATGGTAGCATAGGTTACAGCATAGATTCATACAGTGTGTGGGCTCTAGCTAACTCGATTCCTTCCTGGACCACTCACTAGGGCTACTGTATGTCTGTCTGTCTTCCTGTCCTATTATGTACATAGGACATGATCCAACATTCCAGATGTAGGGATTAGTACACACTGAAACACTGAATCTGTCATGTTTAGGGAAATCTGATGTATGTAGTCAACACAGCATAGAACCAAGTGCACCACGGCCACCCTTCTTTGCAGAAAAAGGACCCACAATTCAACTAGCTACTCAATACAGTTGTGGCGAATCCATGGCTTACTGTACCATACAACTACACATTCGAGAGTTCCCACTCTAGTCCAGTAGCCGTTGACAAACCTGCAGTATACTGCTCCGCTAGCTGGCCCTGGCTCCGGAGTGCTTCTTCACTTTGGTTCCCCCGGGCGTCAGGCCGTGCTTCTTGTCGAACTCGGCAGCCTTCGCTGGGCACTCGGGGATCACCATGGTTGCACAAGAACCCGCTCAGTCTCCTGCCTTTTCTCGTCGATCTCCTCCAGAAAACGAGAAGCTCAGAAAAGGCTAGCTAGTTTAGAACAAGGCGACTATGAATACGATTATCCCAGGTCAAAGAGCGCGCAGACAGAGATGTTGAGTTTGTCCTGCAGGCAGTTCTGTCCCCGTGTGTTGCTGCTGTTACCGTCGAGATGCGGACAGGGGCTCCTTACGTCTCCTCCCAGTCCCTCGCGGGTCCCGAAAACCCCCACAACTGGCAGCAGAGCCTACGCCAAGAAAGGTGGGCGGGGTCTAGAATGCAGAACTTGTCACGTGTGAGCTCTGTCGTAATGATGACTGCTGTGTGTGTGATTACGCAGCAACCAAGAAGAGGAAAGGAGGAGGGGTAGGAGGGTCTTCCCTGAGCGAGGAAGAGAGGGACGTGATAGACCTCTCTCACACAGAGGCAGCAATGCAGGCGTCTGTCACAGCCTTGAAGAAAGAATACACTATCAACCTGGTCACCAGACTCACTCCGGGTCTGTGTGTCTCATCCAGTCCCTATAATGAAACCGACTACCGCAAAAGATATCTTACCATGTTTGCTTAGGCTGAACACTCCATTCAGTACGACCAACTGCACCACATCCTTGTCCTGTTAAATACGTGTGGCTATGGACAGTTTTATACTTATGCCGTGATTTTTTTGTATCAGGTGTACTAGCATAAGACAGATTACGCCAGTCAGGGCTGGTATTAATTGATCCCACAAACCCAGTCCAGCTCTCACAAAAAAACCAAGGCTAAAGCTCCCGGAGTGTTTGGAACAACACTCTCCTTTAAGAAAGCCATTATCATAATGTATGGGAAATGTGGCGGAAATTTCCTAAATGTGCAGAAATTACAAGCAAAATGTAAGACAGTGACGTAGGTTTCTTCAGTTTATACCCTCACTTGAAAAACAAATTTTCTTAGAGAGTGTTTTAGGCTACACAAGCATTGTTTGTCATCCTTGGCAGCCTCACTGGACAGTCTCTACGTTGATGTGGAAGGTCAGAGTGTACCACTGAGGCAGCTGGGACAGTCAGGGATGCCCAATCCAAACACACTGGTCCTAAACCTGGCCTCCTATCCCCAGGTGATCTAACTGCAATAGTGACCCTTTCCACAGGTATATACATCAGCTGTAAGTGTGTTTGTATACAGACAACTTGGTATAAGTTATATACACTTCAGTTTACACAGCTCTCCGCTGTCCTCACAACACAAGCCACAAATACAGTATAGGGGCTTCAAATGCAATGTTCTGTTTTGGTACTACAGGCTATTGAGGCAGCAGTGAGTGCGCTGAGATCACACACACTCAACCTCAATCCTATAGTGGACGGCCCCTCAATTAAAGTCCCCATTCCAAAGTAAGTGCAGCCCCCTTACACATACCAGATGGGCCATTTGATTGGTGTGTGGGCTATGGTATGTATAGGATGAACAAAGAGCTGCGGGAATCCATGGTGAAACAGGCCAAGGCACATGCAGAGAAGGCCAAAGTTGGAGTACGTAAGGCCAGACAGAAGGCAATCTCGGACCTACGGAGGGAAGGAGCATCTGAAGACACCACCAGAAAACTGGAGAAACACGTGAGCTATTATATTATGTGTATGGTTTGCAAGTTAACATAAGTCCAAACCAGTTATCCGCCAGTATTGTGATTGCACCATTAACATTTTTGTACAACTAGGTGGGCTTGCTTTGCTCGCTATTGTTTACACAAACATTGCTCTATATAGAAACTTTACACATACTGTCAACGTAGTATTATGTTTAAGGAAAGATCAGTCGTGTTCCAACGATCGTCGTGTTTGTGTTTATCGCTCTGCAGATTCAGGAGATGACAGACGAAAACACGGAAAGCATCGAGGAAATACTAAAAGCCAAAAGCAAAGACCTATTGAAGATCTAATTCACACACAGACATATTATGTTGTACGTCATCTTTCACATTCAGTTCACCCCAGTGAGTATAAATGTTTACATATGAAAATCAGTGGCAGAGTACAATACAAAATTTCAGAATGGGTGTATACACACAAGCTATACACAAAGGGGAAAATGTATTCAACTGGAGGCAATGTGGTAGTTGAATTTTTTAGAATTTGATACAAACCCCTGTTATTCAAGTTCTATTGTGTTGGTTCTCGTCGTTGTCTGCTGGACTGTGAGTGTGACCAACCAGACAGCCTTCCTGGACCAGGACACTGTTACTGGCGCTAGAGGTGAGGGCAGTGAGTACACCAGGGAGGGGTAGGCCCACTGCACCAGACAGGACACACTGCTTTAGCCCCTGGGCCACACTGGATCCAGACAACTTCACACTGCACGAGATGAGCTCCTCTGTCTCCGCCAGTGGGGCCTCGATCTGTGTAGGGTGGATATGGGTGTTCATGAATATACCGTGCATTATGTGAAGGAAGTGTGAAGAATGAGCTACTGTTTCCAATAGAACTGGGTGCCCAGTCCACTAAGAACTGAGCTAGGAATCCTAGGCCAAACTTTTCCTCTGCATTCGCTCTTTATTTTCTGCTAGTGTTCGCTGCCTATTATTCTGGTGACTTCACAACTTTAGCCTTTGCTCGGGAAATGCTGTTCTGGGCTTAGCATGGCATGCAACATGCACATACTTTGAATGTGAATTTCTCCAGTTTTGGGAGAGGATTTGTACCAAACACACTCTCTGCTGCAGCCTTCAGTCTCTTGTCTGTCTCACTGTCAGTACTGCTACCACCTGCAGACAGCAATACACTCCATTGCCACAGCTCCTACAATAATCATCTAGGCCAACTAATTCTGACCTTGATGGTGTCTGCTTCGCTTCCTTCTCACGGCCAGAAGGGGGTTGGGGTCCTTTTGGTTCAGCCTGTATGCACTGTAGGGACCCTGTTGAATGTCAGAAGATGATAGTTACAGAAGAAACATACAAGTATGAAGGTAGGCACAAACAGTACTGACATGTATGAACTTCCAGCTAATTCAGTAAGCTTATATATAGCTATGTACATAGCACAAGGAACGCACACGATAATGTGCCAATGTATGTGAGTGTGTCTGGACCTGGCTGGCCTGGTTGAGCATTAGGTCCAGGAGAGAACTGAGGCTTCTGCCACACAACTCCATGTCCCTCCACTGTGAACAGCCAACAGTCAGACACAGGGCCTAGTGTGGGTGGGGGTAGTTGCTAGTTGCTGTATCAATTGCTATTGCTGTATCAATTGCAGCAACTATACACTGTCTCTACCATATATATACCACTTGCTGAGACATGTATGATGCTGTATACAGGAATTTGAAGGGAAGAACCTTCACAAGTGTATAATATAGCTCAAACTGCTTTCTTCTTTGAAAGTTACCTGCTATACAGAGTGATACGTACGTCGAGGATTGTAGTGAGGTGTAGTTTCTTGACTCCGGCCAGTATGGCGCAGGGAGTGAGGGGGCAGCGCACCATGTAGCAGGTGTAGGAAGCCACACGGCCATTGTCCACCAATGTGAAGGGCCAGCCAGTGGTAGGGAGTGCTGAGAGTGTCCGCTATATCCTGTTAACAAATACACACAAACACAGGTCCACTACAATGTGAGGTGTTGGAGTCACATGTGTGGTTAACCGGGAACTTTGGCAACAAGTGTACTTTTTGGCAATTTGGAACTATTTTCTTGTGAAAATTGGTGTCAAATGCGTTCCAAAATGTCTGGTTACAAACCACTTGAGGTGAATCGTTACACCATAGTGACATACGTACATAGTCCAGGTTTGAGAGGTAGACCTGGAACCTTTTGCAGAACATCTGTGGATCTGTGTCTACCATTGATGGGACCAACGCTGGGGGATATGAGGGTTATAATACCTGCATGATATGTTAGATGTCTTCTTTTCTCACCATTGGCATAAGTCAGTGAGTACCCTTTCCATTGTAAGGAGTCAGGGTGAGTCAGTATGTCTACATATGTGGAAGTTTCACGTGTTTATAATATACAAACGCTGCAACGCAGACTTTCTGGCGTAACTTACACTTGAGCTCCAGTTCTGTTATGGCATGCTCTGACACCTTGTTCTCCTGGCGGTGTGAAAAAGGTTTGTGGAAACATTATTCCCGTACTTGTTTCCAACTTACAGAGAAAGCGTCGAGCGTAGAAGATACGATGTCCCGTTTCGTCCCTCTTACGGGTGTTTCTTCGTTCCCCACCAGCCATTGAACGACGCCGGGAAGCTCGTTTCTCTTGAAACGGCTCAACACTCGACGGAGGCGGGGTTGCTGTCTCGCCGCCATTTTTCGAAACATCTGCGCATGCGCATAAGCTTCGAGATTGCCCGCCGCTACGCTACGCGCACGCGCGGCGCATGAAGAAACTATACAGAGTTGGAGCTGCAGGTATATTAAGGAGAGTAAATGCACAGAATGGAGGGAATTGAAACAGACTATGATGTCAGATGAATATTTATCTCCTGCACAGCTGCAGCAGCTGCATCATCTTTTATTCTCTTGGCAGCGTTCTGCAGCACTGGCTCATCACCATCACAAGGTGGTGCCTTTCGCTTTCGAACCGACAAGTCCACACGCTCTTCTTCTAAAAAAACCGAAACCATTGTCAGAAAGACACCATTAGCATACAAAACAATACCTTTCGTCTCTTCTTGTTGCTCCTCTTCTGTCACAACCATAAACTCTTTTTCATCGGGCAAGCTCTCTGAGCTGTGAAACACCCAAATAATACCCGTTGGCCAATAGCCATCAGTAAAACAAAGTATCGTTCACCTGTGAATGATGTTGAGAACGAGTGTGTAGTTCTGTAGGAAGTCGTCGGCAGTGAGTCTGGTACCGTCCTTCACCCCAAACTCTGCCAGACACTTGGGGAGGTTGCCTGTGTGCATGGGGGGAGTGAGTAGTGAGAGGGAGAGTCATCCTGCAATGGCTCATAATGGCAGGTTTTTATTCTACATCACGGTCAGGATGGAACATTCCCTCCCTTGAACCTCTTCCCACCTTTAAATCAGCAACTAGCATAATATTATATCCCCAGAGGACCACATTCAAGTTCAAGTTTTGGCTTTAACCAGAGCTGTCCCCTCCCTCCCTCCTCCCCCCTAAAAATTTCCTAGAAAAAACCCTGAATCGCCTCTCTCACTGTCAGTTTCTCCCTCTTCACTGGAGATGAGAATGGTGCCCTTCCCGTCCTGTATGTCCACATCAGGTGCCAGCATTCCAAAATGATTCTTCAGTATCTGAAGTATGTATATACATGTACATATATACACCATTGCGACACATCACAGTCAAATCAACAACAGAGAACAATCTGCAAAGTGGAATGGAGAAAATAAAGACACTTTTTCCTCAACAGTTATGTACAATAGTTGCTACGTACATATATACCTTTTCTTGAAGTGTACTACAGTAGCAGAGTTGGTATTCAGCTTGATATTAGCCTGTTGGAGATAACGTAGCACAATGTCATATCCATTCTGTGCCATTCGAAACACAAGACAAGTTACCTCAGGTTTGGGCGAACAGACGTAGCATTTGGGATTTGGTGGGGCAAGGGAGCACGTGACGAGGAGCTTCTTGTAAGGATTTGGCATTCTCGGCAGGTATATCTACAAGTACACGACACAATACATTGTACCAAACCTGGTATGTTGTATATGTACTTTTTACATGACACACACTACTAATAAACCTGGAACAAAGGATGCTCTACATGTTTTCACAGAAAATAATGAAGAAATAGAGATGGCTGTTTTACCTGTTTGCATTTGTTGAAGTCTCCAGCCAGAACCTTGAGAGCCTCCATGACAATCAGTCCAGCAATGACAGCATTAGTGGTAGCTATAGCAGGAACTATATTACCCGCCATGGCTGGTTGGTGCGGTGAGAGAAGAAATACTAAAGCGGGCTTGAATTTTCCGTCGTAAGTGCTAACATTTCATGTCGAATCTGCTCTTCCTCTGAATGTTGAACACGTGAGCTCTAAGGTTTGCAGACGCTGCAACAAAGTCCATGGACACCTTATCATCCTACCAGATATAAACAGAGTGTGATGAGAGGCCATTGCAGCACACGTAAGATCTCAGTACAACACAATACAGATGTTAGCAGTAGAGAGCTCTTGAGGGGCTAGCACACGCAATACTCATATGAATATTCATGAGACTTATGTCTCACCCAACAGTTGCACCGCGTATATTGGCCTTAAAACACAGGAGGCGCAGTGTGTGCAAACGATTTCAGTACAGCATAAAGCGTCTTAGCGGCCGGCATACAGGAGAGTGCGAGGTGTATCAGCACGGCAAACCTTGTCCCAGGTCAGCTCTCCTTTCGACCTGTACTCTGCACTCAATTTGGCCAGACTGAGAGATGAGGGAACAGCAAGGGGGAAAACCCACACACACAAACCGAACAACACATGTCAAAAGCAGACACAACTTTCAACAAGAAGACATGAAGCACACTCTAGCCACAGAACCCCTGCCACCCTCCCCAAAGCAAGGCCGTGTGCCAAACCACCACCCCATACAAAGACTGTGAATACAAGGGGTTGTGAAGGGACACGAGATTGTGAAAACGTCCCCCCGTCAAGTTCTGGGAATAGCAACCGAAAGTCGGAATATTCCCAGCAACCCAAAACTTCCAACCGGTGAGGCTGTTTTGAATACTGAGCGACCGTGAACTCGCCTCTAAAACTGAGGCCATTCACCGCGACAAGTGTTACCAAACCCTCAGAGGCACGCGGAGCTCCAGCCACCAACTCCCTCGAGGCCTCTGTAGGTGCCTGACACAGCTCTTTAGAGAGAGCAGAGGCTAGGACGTCAAACATAGACGGTCTTGTTATGCATGTAAGCATGAGCAGGAGCAGGACAATAACCATTTACTGGTACTGACAATGTGACCTGTAATAGACCAGAACTGGGAGAAAGAGTGTTTTGCATGACAAATTAATGCAAAATATCCACGACTGCACACAACACTATTACCCTTCCCGCTTTGTTCGGTGGGTTTTAGTAAATATAAACTATGTATTGTGTATATATACCTGAGCTGGAAGACATCTGAACACTTGTGGACACTCCACACTCTCTGGTCAGGAAGACAACCATCACTGCCACCAGCACCATCTCCATCATCTGCACAGGACAATCGTATTATCACACTACAACGCCATAGAGCTGGAAACTAAAGGCACTGTGTCCTCTATATATAGGGAGGTTAACATTTTATGCAATGGAAAAGTTAACATTTGCAGGGGTTCTGCTACCAGTCGCCATTTTCGCCAAATGAAACGTTAACATTTGGGACCTCAATGTGCGTCCTTTGTTGAGTTTTTTTTCCTACTGTAGTGTAAGTACGTTGCATGATGACGTACTGTCGGAAGAGGAGGTGAGTTGCTGAAGAGAGAGAGGTGTGGGGGGAGTTCTCTTCTCCCACAGCTGCTTCATGGTCAGTAGATACTCTACGTCAGTCTGGTATAGCTGGACACACACACCAACGGGAGGGCACAAGTTTTGCAGTGATCAAGTACAAGTGTGAGCTGATGGGGTATTTAATACCTTGGTGAATATTTTCTCTACGTTGTATTTGTTGTTTTCAGCCCACTGCCTGGTGGACAGCTTGCTCTGAACTGGACCACCTGCAGCAGTAACACAACACAACCACCAGCAAGACTGTGTTCAAGTGAACAGGAACTTCGGGAGCCACTTAAATGATGTGGTGTTGCCCAAAACAAGACCATTTGACTTGCCACATTATTACGTGTAACCTACACATAACTATATCGAAATAAAATTGTGCATACCGTTAACTCCATCACTGAGTCCGTCACTCATAGGGACACCTTCCCCCTGACCCCCCGAGTCATGTTCTCCCAGGTCCCCTGAATTCTGGTCCCCTGATTGCTGACCCCCTGGGCCATGTTCTCCCAGGTCCCCTGATTTCTGGCCCCCTGATTTATGACCCCCTGAGTCATGTTCATCAGTAGCCTCGGTGTCAGGGGACACGTCTTCATCAGCATCTGGCTCTCCAAACAGCTGGCTGGAGACAAGTAGTGAAAAACTCCATACTAGGGCTATATACTGTGACATCAACTACAGCAATGTGGCAAATTGCGCAATCTACGTATAAACCTATGCTATGCTGCAAAGTGTATTACTTTACACGGGAAAGCTTTGCTGTGACTTTCGAAAAGCTGCCTATAAAAGTTGTTCTCGCTGAAAATAGTAATGTAAGTTGCCACAATTATGTAGACTTTGATTAGATTATTATTCATCTTCCTCACTTGAAGAGGTGTTTGGCCCATATGATGCAGTGGATGGGTTCCGACGGAGTGTTGCGGATGCTGCAGGCCGGATAGGTCTTGGCCGTCGGCTTTGGCTGACATTCGTAACACTCACTCTCTCCCTGCACACACCCAACACAGAGACACTGCTCATATACTGGAGAGCAACGTATTTCCGCTGTGTTATAGGAAGATTGGATAAGCTTTGGATACTTTTTTAGCCCTGCAGGCAATGGACACAAGTTTTATATGAACGGACACTATGCATATTATGAGGAGGGTATTCCGATATTCGACAGCGATACAGTCAAAACCTCTGAAAAGGACCCTCTAAATACATATCCCTCGGTTCTCCCACACACACCTCCGAATAAAGGACACCTCGGAAATAAACACTTTCCATGTCCCCAATCCGGTGTCCCTTATTCAGAAGTTTCTCTGTACTTGGTACTTAGTGAATAGAGAGAGCAGCCCCGAGTTTATCATAAGAAAATGCAGTAGTTATATACACAAAAGACACTGGGGCTGAAGGCACACCGACTGACTGACTAAATCTATGGCCCCATAGTCTCCCTTTTTGCACTGTATACCATCTTTACACTGAGGTTGAAGGGAGGTATGTAAAGGCACGTTGGCTGACCTTCCTAATGACAGACACCTGACCCAGGTATCCTGCAGAGCCGCTCTCTATCAGCGTCACTCCCGCCGCTAGACACAGTCGGTTCACGTGGTTCCTAGCGGCTGGACATAGTGTATGTACACATTATGTGAGCCTTTGGAAGGAGTCTGAGCATGAGATGACGACAGTACCTTTGTTATCGAGGGCATTCATAACCAGTGAGAACCGTTTGAAAAAGTTGACATTGTAATCTGGACTGAGAGAAAACAACAAACTCATCGTGCACATGGAATCGCGGTGAATACCACTATCAACAACGCGTAAGTATATCACTCTGATTAAATCATAACATAGCACCAAAATTGATGCAATGAAATCACTTTTTTGCTAAGGGCTTTGGCACTTATTCACCAACATAGTGCAAATGGTCATTGTGTGAATTTTCACTAATATTATGACGTGCTCAATATTTGATGGCTATGTGCATATCACAACTGACATTGCAAAACATAGTAGGAAACACACGTGTGCAATGGGTAGGATGGCCAGCGGACTGTATGGAGCTCTCACTTGAACACGGAGTCATGGATGGCAGTGATTCTGGCCTGAGGGTTGAACTGTAGGAGAGCCTCACGGGCTACCTGGACCTTGGGTCTGCCCACGTGGTACTTTCGGAACAGAAACTGACGGTTCAGATTACTCACTTCAATCGTGTCTAGATCAATCTGGGAGGAAAAAATAATATAGGGGAGGGGTGGGGTAAATTTGTTAGATATAGAAGATCGGGCATAAAACAAGGCATGAATGCATTTTCGACAAAGCTACGTTTATGATTTCTGGTCCGGGCGCCTCCCACGTGTCCTCACCATGACGATATCTTGAAAGCCAGTGAGAACAAGGTTCTTGGCCAGCTCACAGCCGATCCCGCCCGTCCCCACCACAAACACGCGGGACTTCCGAACGACCCCCGCCAGTTCGCTGCCCAGACAAGCGTCCATGACGCCCAGAAGAGGGGAGGAAGGGAGAAAGAGAAAAAGAGGTGAAGGGACGACGCTTTGACCTTTGCACTTCAGTTGATCATTAATTTAACCCCTTGACATCCGCGCTTCCTTTAACCCCTTGTGATTTGGTGTACAGAGGCGCGCAATTCAAAGGGTCCGTCCGTGATGGCCGAAGAGACAGAAACCCCTGGCTTTAGCCGGCTAATGGAGCTGCTCCAAGGCAGTTACCTCCGCAAGGGAGTGCGTAAGAGTGTAGCATCCAAACTGGAGGAGGTGAGTATATACCTCTAAATCCGGACACCAGTGGCACAGAAGAAAGTTTCAATACTAGAGAGGTATCTTAAATTACGCTGTTGTTGGGGGAAGAAAAGGCGTCCTCTAGTGGGGAGAGGGGTTGTACTCACTGGTACAACATGGTACTCATTTCTTACCGCAGACAGAGGCTCGGTTGCAGGGGGCTAGGAGACGCTACCTGGAGCTCAGTCTCGTCCATTCTGAGCTTGCCGCGACCCTCGACAGACGGCATGCTTCCTCCACCACCAACCCTCGCAGTGGAAGACCCAGTGATGACGGTGGTGGTAGAGGAGGGAGAGAGGTGCTAGCAGCAGGAGAGGCCCAGCACTGCCTGAGGCTCCACCCACAGGCCACTCTGCTTGGTCTCTCTAGTGACCACCTCAGACTTGCAGGAGGGAGGCCACTCACTGGGGTGAACTCACACTCTATAGTATCACACTGACCGATTCCGCTTCAGCTTTGTTGGCTTGGCAATGTACATATGTAAAAGCATAATGCTTCCTGCTGTTTGTTAGAGTACCAAGCTTCTGCTCTGCTAGATAACTGCAGAACATGCTTTTGCAATTTGGATGTGTGTTCTTGTCTGTGAAGACCTTTTCTAGTTTCCTTCTTTCTATGTTGAAGTGTGCTCTATGTGTGATTGTCCTGGTCTCTATTGCAGACAGGGAAGGAGGCTGTTCTGAGGGAGGTACAAGAGCGGCTGAAGGCCAAGTGTCTGAGAGTTGCCCAGTGGCACTCGGAAGGAAAAGCCAGTGGTAGGTTTAGACTGGGTCCCTGTGCTGGTTGGGGCTTCGTATAATATAGTTTAGTCAGTAGGAAGAGCCCTTTTCCTAGAGAGCAGGGTTGTTGTTAGCCTCATTCCCAGGCCTTCACACCTTGCCCTCTCATGCAGAAGACCTGGGAACAAGGCTATGTTGTGTCCTAACCAACGCGAAAATTTTTATTACTTAGGATCAGAGAGTCTTCAGCTGGCCAAGGCAGCCCAGCTGCCTGGACTGGTAGCCCAACAGATCAACTCACTGGACTCTGTGGAGGCTCAGCTCAGGGAGAAGAGGAAGGAGAACGCCCTGAGACAGCACCAGCACTACAAAGTAAAGTAACAAGTCCATACTGTGTACACCCACGGGGGTGCCAGCGGGATACGGGCATAACCTCACCTCCATTTGGTATATAGCAAGTTTTGCATAGTTTGTCTGGATGTAACACCGTTACCTTCCACACCAATTACCTTTGCTCGTGCAATAATTCAAACAGTTAAATGAGAGGCACTGAGGTAACAGGTGTGTTGGTTAGGTCCCTGTCACTAGATACTAGTCGAGACAAGTGAGATGTTGCATGGAGCACTGGAACAGGCTCGGCTCGGCAGTGTGGCCAGATCTGAGCAAGTACGACTGGACTACCTGCAGGCTCGAACCACTGCCCTCCTCGGGAAACAAGAGTAAGATCCTCTCCCCACCCTTTGGTGTCCACTCCACCATCATGTTACTATAGGAAGCAAGGGGATTTCCCCTGAGAGCCCCAAACTAGGGCTCAAATCTAATCCCCCTCCCCATGAAAAAAGTGTATTATTAACTTTGTCCGTTTGCTTCGCTGTGTTCTGCAGTGTGATGTACTATCAGTTGTTGAAAGGGATCTGTTCCGATGGGAGACTGCAGGCACTGAAAGAGATCAGGTCTGTTGCAGTATAGCAAATCCCCTTCAACGAGATGCATAGCAATGTCTTTCTACTTGATTGTAGCAGCACAGTAAATGTCGATCTATGTAAAATTTCGCTCTGTGTGAACAGCCAAGCAAAATAAACCGACATAGCTGCAAAAAGTGTTTCCCCAACTCGGTATTCATGCTCCCTCCAACCAACAGGAGTCTCATGGCTGCTCGGCTGCGAGGGGTGGAAGAGCAGCTGGCTCAGACCCAGCACACACTGAGGCACTACCACAGTCTGGGTCCAGAGCTGGCCTCCCTGGCCCAGCAGTACGCAGCCACTCTGGCTGAGATTGAGAACAAACAGTGGGCACTCACCGAACTCCTAAAGTCATGCCCAACAACCAACTAAAAATAAAGCTGAACTTCATGCATCATTACACGACTAATTTTGTTTGAAACAAAGTTTCTACATAGGTCAATTTTCTGCTCATCCGTGTATATAATTATTCTGATAAAAAAAAAGTTCACAGCCCAATGCGGGGGTCGAACCCGCGACCCTCAGATTAAAAGTCTGATGCTCTACCACTGAGCTAATTGGGCAGCTCTGTGAGAACAAGTCACACAATAGTAGTGACCACACGCTGTACACACACACACACACGCACACATAAGGATGGTATGTCTAAAAGAGGAGTATATAAGAAAGTACAGCCATATTCAGTGTTATTAGTCATTCTTCCTCACGTGGACAGCAATGTTTCTGACCGCATCTCCCTCCACCAACAATAGCCCCGCTGTGGAGCAGTGACACGTTTCACCTAGACGAACGTTGTATAGATCATAGTCGGAACGTTCCTTGAGTTGGGCCAGCTACGTTTGAATTCTCACTGGAAGATCCGGACTTATTACAGAGAGGAACGGTCCAGACTACGAGGCGGTCTAGACTACGAGGCGGCCCAAGCAACATGGCACAACCTTCAGCAGAGTGGAGACAAGTTTCAAATCCAGGGTGGGGATCGCGCCGAGATTTTACGCGCATGCGCAGTTTTCCCCGCGTCTAGGGAAACGACGCGCGGGGAGCACGCACGCGGAACTGCCGTTTTTTTTCCTTGCAGGAGCTAAAAGCTCACACCAAAGAGCAGGCTGGTGGTGCAGTGCCCTCTGAAATGAGGGATTTGGATCTGCTCCCACCTGCAAAGAATCATCCAGTGGTCCCTTGTCTGGAGGACAAGGAGAGTGAAGAGAAACAAGAAGTGAGTGATGAGTCACTGAGCAAGGAACCATCTTCTGAAGTGACGACACCAGGGGTGAGATTCACTCAGGTGTGTGTAATACATTTGACCTGATGCAACCCTCATTCTTCCCAGAATGGTCTGATCAACAAGGCCACTCCCCTGGGGACGAATGTCATTCCGGTAAGCCTAGACATCTCAATAAAGTATGTACCACCTATGAATGCTCTGGTGCAGGGGTTCAGATCCGAAAAGCGCAAAGCTAAACCCCCAAGCAAAACTGTTCTTCTTTCTGTGAGTGGCAAAACATTGTGTCTGATATAATGCCATAGCTTTTTCAATGCTTATTTTGTAGAAGAGAAACGAGGAAGAATCACATGACTCCCCTGGAGCTATGCCCACCGATGACTGTGTGAAGATGACAAGAAAACACAAGAAGAACAAGCACAGGGTCTCCTCGGTAAGATAATCGATAATCAGATTAACTCCACTCTATTGTAATAAATCGGATTCCAGGTGGGTTTCACCCTCTCAAAGGAGGGTAAGAGGAAGGCAGACGTCTTCTGGCTGACTCTGCCCCTCATCGAGCGTCAGTTCCATGCCCACGAGTTCAAGACGGGCAACAGGGAGGACGGATGGAGCATGCTCTTCCACGAACTGTCGGGGACAGACCCTGAGCTGAAAGTGTTCCCCAGCTCACTGGACAAGGACGGGAACCGCTGTGGGGGTGTCCTGCCTTACGGAGGGACACATGTCCAGCTGGCCAACTCGGACAACGGCTCTTTCAGTAGCAGCCTCGTGAGGATCGAGGAAGTGAGCTGGCAGTACATTATCACCCAGGCTCCACTGGACAACACAGTCGCCAACTTCTGGCAGATGGTCTGGGAGCAGCACAGCGTGGGGATCGTGATGTTGTGCAAGTGTTCTGAGGGTGACGCAGATGTGTGTGCTCATTACTGCCCAACGATGGGGGGCGACCCACTCCTTGCCGGCTCCCTAGTGGTCGAATGCATCAACAGCGACTGGAGCGAGTGCTTCTGCGTCTCCAGGCTCAGGCTGCACAACCTGGAGGCTGGGGAGACGTTTGAACTGCTCCACTTCCACTACTTTGCCTGGCCCGAGTTTGGTGGTGTGCCTGAGGACCCACACACCTTTGGCGAGTTCCTGATGGTCGTTCGAGAGTTGGGCGTCATGCAACCGGGTGTTGGGCCACCCATTGTTCACTGCACCACTGGTACTGGTCGCTCTGGTGTGTTTACTCTGTGCGACGTCGCACTCTCCTGGATTGAAGGTGCGAGAGGTGTGGGCACCGTTGACATTGGGAGTCTGCTCTCCAAGCTGCGCCGGCAGCGTCCGGGACTGGTCGAGACGAGTGAAGAGCTGCGCTTTGCCTACACCACCATCCTCAACACTGCCTGCTATGGACTCAACCTGGGACGCAGTGTCAATGACCTCGTGAGAGACATGGACAACTTCACCGGCTCTCTCATAGAGGAGGAGATGAGTCGACTGAGTTCGAAGTGGACCAACACCTCTCCAAAAACGAATCAAACACAGCTGCTCTCTGAGCACTCTGTTCATCAATCATCTCTGCTTCTTCCAGACTGGAAGTATCCCTCTTCTCCGGGTCGCCCACTGGATCTGGGGGAATCCCACGTGGCTCCATTTGTGGAACTGACTCCCGAAGACTGTGGGATCTTTCTCCCGCCTCTCCCTGATACTCCAGTGGCAGCTGTCAAGGTTGGAATGGTCCAGCCACAGTTGGAAATGCCAGCAGTGGCTGATGACAAGACCACAGCATGTGATTCAGGGGAAGAGATGGCTGACCTTCCACCAGAAACTGTGTCAGATCATCAACCACCACAGGCAACAGAGCCACTAGAGATGCCACAGCAATCCGTGGAAGAGGCTGCTGAGATGTCAGTAGTGACGCACACTGAAGAAACTCTGACCACACCCACAGAGAATGTGGGCAATGAAGACCAAGTTGAGTCAACCGAGGCCGCAGTGGATGAATCTGCAGCTAAACCATCGAATGAACAATCAGCAGTCGGTGAAGACTCAGCCAGCATGGCATCACCAGTGCCTGAGTGTGACCTACTGGGCAAAGACACAGCTGTACCACCACTGGACCCAGATACAAGAACTGCTGAAGACCAGACTGAACTACCCCAGCTGATGGTGGTGTGTCAGCCTGACTTGGCCTGTGACTCACTCCCGGCAGAGGACAACACCACACTTCATCAAGCCTCACAGCTCAATCGGGTGGTCGTTGCTGTTGTGGAAGCTTCAATTGAGGCTGGGACAGACAACGATGACGGCATTGTGACTGAGTCAATGACCCAGCTGCCACAGTTCGCTCAAGTAGTGGTGATTGAAGATGTCTCTCTTCCTGAGCCTCAGTGCGGTGGAGTTGAGATTGTGACTGAAACTGAGCTCCCACAACCCATGCTGGCTGAAAACGTGGCTGTGAACGTAACTCCGATGGAAGAAAACTCGTCAACTCTAACACAGACACAGTCAGGAAAGAGGAAGAAGAAAAAGAGTTGTTTCAAGGGGCTGAGACAGGCTCTCTTCTCTTGCACAAGAGCCAACAGAGACTAACTAATATCAAATCACACGTCTTCATTTTTCTAGGCCCTAGAGCGTTCATGGATGTACATTCACACACTGTAATATAATGTGACCAGTTTTTCTGCAAACCAGTATCTTTACAAACCAACATGACTGCTGATTTTGTTGCAAAGCTACGCTGCATGCATCGTATTGACTGCGCATGCGTACAATAATGCGCGTCAGGGGAACGACGCGACGCGCAATCACTGACGCGTGCGACTCTTTCTCGGAGTAGTTGACTGCTCTTTCTGAGTTGCGAAGCATTTCGAGAGAGGAGCCGTTTCATCCATGGCATTTTCTTCAGTATTTATGCTGGCGAGTGTTTTTCGCCGTGTGGTTGGTCGGAGACGGCGAATTCATCCGATCCCGCAAGGCTGCGGCTCGGATACCCTTTCCCCGGTCAAACCCGGAGTGACTCGTGGAAAGGTAAAAGTTCTAAGAGTCCCTACTCTTTGATTATCATCCCTGTCTCATTCTCAGGAATGCGGGCTGATGCCGCCTAGACGTTCCCAGGAGGTGACAGAGGTATAGCTATCTAGTCGTTCTGTGCCGCACAAGAACAGTGTAGCTAGCCCTGTATCTTGTAGGTCTGCGAGTGTGAGGATCTGTTGGAGGCTGTGAAATCCAAGCTCGGTGGCAGCAATGAGTCGAATATCTCCAAGAAACGCAACATTCTCTTGGTAAGGAGCCTCCTTTGCATGCAGCTACTACGTTACTGTGCACATGTCAATGATGTAGGTATCTAAGGCTGAGACTGCCAAGATCGTCACCAAATCTGGAAAGAAGGAGCACCAGGTGAGTTAGTATCTTTCTTACATTGCATTGTTTAGCTGGCATATTCCTTCCTTTACAGAACGGTAGGCCGTTACTATCACTCAAGAAAAGAATGGAGAGTTTCTGGAGTGACAAGTCGCTGATCGAGAGGGAGTTTTTTGCCCATGAGTACGGCCCCGAGAACGGTGGCAGGACAGACACCTGGAAAGGTCTGTACCGACACTTGGAGAATCAGATGGTGTTCCAGGACCCAGGCCTGGAGCTGTACATCAATCCACAGTGCCACATCCGCAACAGGTACAGGACCGTCCTCCCGTACGTCAAGAATCGAGTCAAGCTCTCTGGTGGCGGCAATGACTATATCAATGCCAGCTACGTCTCGGTGGAGGAAGTCGAGTGTAGCTACATCGTCACCCAGGGTCCGCTGGGCAGCACCATCCGTCACTTCTGGGAGATGGCCTGGGAGCACGGGAGCACTGGGATAGTCATGCTGTCTCGGTGCGAGGATGGCAGTGACAAGTGTGCTCAGTACTGGCCCAAGGAAGTACATGGCTGTATGATTGCCGGCTACTTCATGGTGGAGTGCCGCGAGCGCACAGTAAGTGACTTCTACACTGTGTCCTCTCTGGAGATCCAGAACCTGGAGACTCAGGAGACTCGCACACTCCTCCACTTCCACTACAACTCCTGGCCAGATTTCGGGGTGCCACAGAACGAGGCAGCCTTTGTTCGCTTCTTGCTGGCAGTCCGCAACTCGGGTGTCCTGGGGCCGAATGTGGGTCCAGCAATTGTCCACTGCAGTGCAGGTGTTGGTCGCTCAGGGGTGTTCACACTAGTCGATGTGTGCCTGTCTTTCATTGAACGTGCCGGGACCCTCGACGGACTGAACGTGAACGACATTCTGCTTGACTTGCGGATGCAGAGACTTGGGCTTGTCCAGACCTCCGAGCAGCTGAGGTTTGCCTACCTCGCCATTCTGAATGCCGCCCACACTACTCTTGGACTCGGACAGAACACGGAAGACTTCAAGAAGGAGGTGGAGCATGAAATGGTGAAGGAGGTAGAGCATGAAATGGTGGGGAGTAAAGCACCGATTGAACTGCCGATGGCTAAACTGGTGTTTGTCCGCCCCTTTTCACAAGACCAGCAAAAGCCTTTATATTTTGCCTCCACGCCTCTCGCTCCGCCAAACAGTCCGAAATCTCTGTCTGCAAGCTTGCCATCAGTTTACTCCGACACGGACAGCATCCACACTCTCCCCGCTGACTCCACTAAAGCTGATCAGAAGTGTGTACCAACTCTTTCATCCTTCACTCACACTGAAACAGTGGAGAACACTGCTACTACATGTTTGGCCGTTTCTTCAAGTCTCCTGAGCATCACTTCAGTGGACAGTTCAGATTTCCTCGACACCACTGAGACACTCGTGACTGGAGACAAGGCCACTGGAGAGCAGCCAGAAGTGGCGGCTACTAAGAAGAGCTGGTTCAAGAAGCTCAAGCAGAAAATGTTCCGACGCAAAAAGACTACATGTGACTGATTAAAAGGACCCTCAATTTGCATGCGAAATCTAGTGTATCAACTTCCTTTTACTGCATGAAGTTACGTTTTATCACAGCTTGAAAAAATTTTGCAATGCGCATAGCTATGCGTTTGCACGTTTGCACGACAATGTTTCAACTTCACTGTTAAAGGTGTTGCATGCGGAAAACGGTGTTGTTTCATGTGCACAGCTAATGGATTCCAGAGGCTCAAGCAAACGATTTTACCGCAAAAAAGTTTGGGACGGCCGGCCAGACGCGCGTAGCCTAGCAACACGCGTCGTACGAAATCGGGCAGCGCGAAGAAGACGAGATGCACGCCATTTCGAGCAGCGCCGTCTCTTTATTAGTCCCAACTCCGACTCCTCGCTCCATATCACCTCTCGACATCTCCACCGGCACCAGATACCCCTCGCCCTCTAGCGGCGACAGCGAAGACCAGCTCCACGAGGGTCTCCTCGTCCTGATTCCCGTGGCTCTCGTCGTCTTTATAATCGGAGCTCTGCTAGGAGCGTACTCGTGGCAGCGGGCGGAGCGAGGGAGCAGCGACGGGAGTCTGTGCCAGGCGTGGAGGAAGAGAATTGGTCGGCGCCGCTCTCCGAGAGAGCGTGGCAACCCAGCTGCAGTCTGCGGACGAGTCACAACACTCGGTAAGTTCCATGATGGGTATGCATGTAGTACGGTGTGTAAAATTGTACAATTAAATTGGGTACATGGTGTTTGTGCAGGTGATTCTACTGCAATGTTAGTCGAAGAGTTGACTGACATTGATGCTGATATATGGGATGTCCACCTGGATGAAGAAGAGTTGTCCAGGCCAGATCCTGCCACAGAGCAGCCGACTCAATCCTCCTCCTCATCCTCTTCAAACACCGACTCCCAAATGCATGTGTGCACTGTCGAAGTGCACTCTGACCCCTTCCTAGTAGGCGAAAATGATACAATGCCCGACCCAACACAAGGTTCTCACGTCTCCCTCAGCTCATCCACATCCACAGACGATGAAGATGTGTCGACTCAAGCACTTGAATTGTCTCCGTCAAACCTGACCTCTATTTCGTCTTACTACAGTGCCCATAGTATTTCAGCCCCAAGCCTCGCCAATAGTCGAAAAACTCTCCACAGCTCAGACACACTCACTGCCAGCAGTTTGTCTTCTGCAGGGGACATCGCCCAGGAAATAGTGGATGTAGTGCAGAGCAAAGAGTTCGCAGAGGATGCTGCAATGGCTGTCCTACGTTGCGGTAGCAGTCAGCTCTCTCTCTTCACTGCGGTTCATGATACCAGGGGCTTCCCCGATAACAGCACCCAGGTTGAAGCGGAGGGTTCTAGCACCGGCTCTAAGGCAGCTGGTAGTGGGGGTGTGGTGGTGGCCACCAGTGTGAGCCAGGGCGGACCTGAGAGGATTGTGATTCCACTGAGCGAACTACAGGACACGCGTTTCGGGGCGTCCATCATGTGGGAAGACTTGGACCAGGAACTGCAGACCACATTATGAAACTCATAATTATTATTCCCTCTCCTGCCATTAAATCATGATCAGTCTTGTCATCCCATACACTCTATTTAAAATTATCACCATGATATTATAGTGAGATTTCTCTCATGTACGCAGGGCTCATATTATAGCGTTGTTTGCTTGTTACCATTACTTATATGGCAATGCGAAAACATAGTGAAAATCAATTCTGTCCTAAGGGTGCTACTGCTGCTGAATCACACAGCTGTTCACTATCAGCTTTCTGGCTGTGTTTTCACCTGATCAATGACTGATTGAAGCTCACTGGAAGGAAATTAGTCGTCAAGCAGATAACCGATTGTGATAGGCAACTAGGGCAGGTTCACACCTCACGAATGGAACACGGGTAGCTACAATTCTCTTGCAAAAGGAAGCTGACAGAGCTGAGCCTCTTGCCATTATAAAAGAGAAAGAGAGTATAGCTAGTCGCACTGTAGAGAGCCGTAGATATTCTTTTTAACGCATACACACAGACGTAGCTACGTAGAATGAGTGCAATGCCAGGTGTGATGGTCCTCACTGCAGCTCTGCTCCTGGCATTTGCCTGTTGTGGAGCACTCGGACAAAGCCGGGGAGGACTGAGTGAAGAGGAGATGGAGGAGATTCTTGATGCTCACAACTACTACCGTCGGATTGTCGACCCAGTTGCTACCAACATGCTTAAAATGGTAACTCCTATAATTAAACCTTTCTCGAACGGTGGATATGCCATTCTCACAGGAGTGGGATGAGGAACTGGCTTACATGGCTCAGTTCTGGTCATCAACCTGCACCTATATGGAAAACGAGGATCGCCACAGTCAGTCTGCCAACTTTGACTACGTGGGCGAGAGTTTTGCAGCCACCATCAGCTACACTGTCAACTACACTCAGCTGATTGGCATGTTGTGGTGGGGAGAGAAGAGGTTCTTCAACTACTACACGGCGAGCTGCTACGACGAGGACGGAAATGCAAACGACGATGGAAACTTTGAAACTTGTGGAAGATACACACAGGTAATTCAGTAGCAGACAATCCATTGATCATATAAGGTGACTCTCTATTTTCCCGGTGCAGTTGGTGTGGGCTAGAACTCGCGCAGTGGGCTGTGGAGTCACCACATGTGCTGAACTTGAAGGGGCCGAGGATGCCAATGAAAACGCTCTCTTCCTCGTGTGCAACTATGGCCCTGGGTATGGCTAAAATCCTTCTCCTAAAAACACCTCAGTCATATCTTTCCTCAGTGGCAACTTTTATGGAGAGCCGCCCTACCAGACAGGTAGCAAACCCTGCGAGGCTTGCCCCTACAATTACAACAAGTGTGTCAAGGGTCTTTGCTGTAAGTTCCTTACATATTATTTATGGTCTGACTTTTTCAACCTCACACACCTTCTTTCTTCTCTCTCTTTCTAACTACAGCTGATAAAGCAGGGAGTGTGGCTGTGGTAGGCTCTGTGTCAGTGATTGGTCTCCTCTTTACTCTTGTGACTGTCCTCACGACCTAGCATTGACTCTCTCTACATAAAAGAACTCAGTATATCATTATATTATTCTGCTGAACTATAGCATAGATTATCTGCTGCTTGTAACAACATTGACATCGAGAGTATCAAGTGGGTGTGGCTATATAGCTCATGACAAAGTGATTTGTGTCAACCTTTTGAAATTTCAGGCCATAACTTCCAACCAAATATGTACGATTCATTTGCATGCAACTCATCATCTGGGAACAGTGATCTGCTAGCAAGTACAGGACAAGGAGGCAGAGAGCACTCTTACTGTCAACTTGTACTGCCAGTGGTAGTTGTGAATGGCTGGGACACGTGAGAGAGCAGGAGTAGAGGGAGAGAACAGGGGACAAGAGCACAGCCCAATTATCCCATAATGCGAACAGGCCTTGTGACCGACCGTCTTGTTGTCACCATTAGAACACTGTGCTTGTCGAGATACTCAGATTGTGTGTCTGTGTTACAAGAACAGGTGTATCATCCTTATGTGTGTGTCACATCCCTACCATGATCTATGTGTCGAGCTCTCACCATAGCTACACAGCTCTAAGATTGTTTTTGGCAAGAGTCCACATAGTAGTTCTTCCCTCTCACACTCTCTTGGGACAGCATGGAACACTCTGGCTGAGTGCATAGTACACTAGACTTCGATTCATGATGCCTGAGTTCAAGTCCCGAAACTCGCACTGATGTGAACATTCGTTAGTGCTCCAATGAAGTTGTGTTACCGAATTCCACTGTCCTGGCTGCTTCTCTATGACTGATTACTGTACGTTCATGAGCCATAAGTAGATATACATTAGGTGAGGATTGCACCCACTTACTGACATAAATTAGCATGCTGGGTACAAGACTGAGTGATGGAGGAGGAACACATTTACACAGAAAATTGTGATCCAATAACAGGTTGAGCAACACCAACCATCAAGAAAATCCTTTAAAAGAGAGAAGTAAAGAATATCGCTTCACTCTGCTTTTTGCCACCTCCTCTCCACTGGACACACTCGCGGAACCACAGAGATGAACTCCAAGCTGCTGTTTGGCCTGATGGTGGCACTGGCCTTGAGCTGTGTACACGGACAGGGACTGACTGATGATGAGAAGGCAGAGATTCTCAATGCCCACAACCACTTCCGAGGCCAAGTCGATCCCATTGCCACCAACATGCTCAAGATGGTGAGAACTACATCCACAAGCAGACTCAGAGAGTGTTGTGTGTAAACCTTCGCTCACTCACGCTTCGACCCCTAGCTGTCTGGTATATATATTTACAGGAATGGGATGAGAACTTGGAGTACCTGGCCCAGTATAGGGCGGCTTCTTGCGAGTTCAGTAGAGAGGAGGAGCAACAGAGTGTTGGGGTTGTCGGTTTTGACTATGTCGGAGAGAATGCGGCAGCCATCTATTCTGCCGGCTATGGCTCATCCGTGAACTACACGCGGGTCATTGGCCAGCACTGGTTCACAGAGAAGAGGTTCTTCAGCTACTACTCTGCAGCCTGTAGGGACGAGGACGGAAATGTCGAAGAAAATGGAGATTATACGACCTGTGGGAGATACACTCAGGTTTGTGGACCCTAGGACCCTGTAATTAGTATTGATTTATGACTGATATCATTTCTGCTACAGCTGGTGTGGGCTAGAAGCTATGCTGTAGGTTGTGGTGCCTTCACGTGTCAGGAGGTTGAAGGGGACGATCAGGACTACAACAACAACAACAACAATAACAACAACCAAAATGCAAATGCAATGTTTCTTGTGTGTACCTATGGACCTGGGTAAGAAAACTATTTCTCAGTGGTATTTTGTATGCAGCATAAAATTAACAAATCCTTTCCGCAGGGGAAACTTTGCTGGTGAGCCTCCATATACCACTGGTTCAAAGCCCTGTGAATCCTGCCCTTATGACCGATCGTACTGCAACAAGAACCTCTGTGGTGAGTACAATGTGCCCCCTCTCTTATCATGGTCCGCTTATCTCTGTTTATTCACTGTTGTGTCTCTTGCAGACTATTCGGGAGCTTCTATGATGGCTCCAGCCTCAGTGCTGGGGCTGCTGGTGGTGGCGTTGGGAGCGATACGCTCCAGTCTTCTGTGAGAGGGACACAGCACCACCCTGTCTGTAGCTAAAAGACTTTGTTGCTTGTAATGTAGAGGAGCAGTCAGTTGAGCTCCATCAAATAACTATAGAGTATGTTTGTGTTCGCCCATATCTTTCATTGCATTAAACAATGTGTATTGCCAACATTTCAAACACTCTTATTTCATTAACGACAGATATTGATTTACAATGTAGACATACATAATTAAAATGTTAGGGCTTTAATGACTGTCAAAGGTAAATCTATGTTTTAATGTAAAGTCTGCTGTCTCTTCACATCAAAGGTGAGAGTAGACTGCAGAAGCTGCAACTGCAAGTAGTCCCAAGAATGATATTGGTCCAGTGAAAGGTGCCCCTGACTCAGCTGTAGGTAATTAAGTTCAGATACTAGGCAAGCTAAATGGGTGGTTGAAACTCACAGCAGAGATTGTTGGTGCAGTACTTGTGTGTGTAGGGACAGCTTTCACAGGGTTTGGAGCCAGTGGTATAGGCAGGCTCTAGAGCAAAGTTCCCACTGTGGAGATTGATTATACACTCTACCTGCATAACACAGGAACCACTTACCCAGGTCCATAGTAGCAGACAAGGAACAGGGCATTCTCATTAGCATCTTCAGCTCCTTCGAGTTCAGCACATCTGAAAGCTCCACAGCCAACAGCATACGTCCTGGCCCACACCATCTGCAAATTGAAAGCAAAGTGTACTTGTGCTTTTATCGCTGCTTATTCAGACCTGGGTATATCTGCCACATGTTTCATACCCTCCATCTTCTTCAACTTCCCCATCCTCATTAAGACAGGCTGTAGCATAGTAGTTGTAGAACCTCTTCTCTGCATACCACAGCTGACCAATCAGTTGAGTGTAGTTGACAGTGTAGCTGATAGTGGCTGCAAAGCTCTCTCCAATGTAGTCATATGAGGTGGACTGAGTGTTGCGATCCTCGTTTTCCGCATACTCGCATGCACTGGCCCAGAACTGAGCTAGATAGCCAGATCCTCATCCCACTCCTGTGCAGGGTAACAGTTTGATTTTAAGATCACTCCTTCTCTAACAACACACCATCTTCATCATGTTGGTAGCTATAGGATCAACCAATCCTCTGTAGTGGTTGTGGGCATTCAGGATCTCCTCCTTCTCCTCTTCATCCAGTCCCTGTCCATAGACTCCATAGGACACAGCCAGTAGAACCAGCACACCACACAGCCACTGGGAAGACATGATGATGGTTGAAGGTAGCTAACTCCTTTCAGTGGGATTCAGAGGGTGAATCGATTTTTTTTTAACGTCTGAGCACGGGCCCTACCGGTTTATACCCATTTCGTCCGACAGGTCTACATGACTGGCAGGTTATGTGTGAATTTAGTGAGAAGCATGCTAACATTCCTCCCGTGATATACTTAAGGGTACATTCATTCACCGACGACATAATTGAACACAACTGCTGCAGTTTACACACAAGAAGTTGGTAATAATGCTTATTAGTGCGTATCTCTTCAGCTGTGGACTCGACAATACACTGAGACCTAACACATTGTACAGTGTTGACTGCCAAACATGATCCATTTGTGTACAATTCTCCTAGTTCATTGCAATGTTATAAATTTGAAAGGGGCATTAATTTTGTTCTCCTCTTAACCCTAACGATCCAACACCATAATTCTAGTTATGCACAATGCTGCAAATACACGATTGCGACTAATATTCTCCCTGTAGATGTGGAAACTCAAACCACCACATTAGGATCCCCATAACCAAAGACATGGTTTGATTTGGACGTTTCCTGAAATAATTGCAAGTTCAATTGTCATAATTATTACTCTTTAATAGCCTTATTTTGTACACTGGCAGAAAACGTGGTAGCAGATGGTGGACACAGTAGCCCACATCGTGAATGCATACTGAGGGTTAATGATTATCAGCTTTCTCTCGACTGCTAATGTTCAGTTAGCTACCGCTTGTCTTTGGGTGAATTTATGTCAAATTCAAAGTTTATGACTTAAAAACAATTACTATATCATACATATACACAAGCAAAATAACTTATATGATTGTATGCAAACAAAGGTAGCAGTTATTTAGTCTAGTCTAGAAGTGGGCAGTCAGAGCTGCGACAGCCACAACCAGCAATCCCAGTAGGGAGATGGGACCAGTGATGGGAGCTCCTGACTCAGCTGTAGGGAGATAGAGAGAGGGCAGGCATAACTACAGGCTATGCAGACACAACACTCACAGCAGAGGTTGTTGGTGCAGTACTTGTGTGTGTAGGGACAGCTTTCACAGGGTTTGGAGCCAGTGGCATAGGCAGGCTCTAGAGCAAAGTTCCCACTGTGGAAAGTATGGAGATAGAGTTTATCACAAGTTGGGTAGTGAAAGTAAGGTAAACTGACCCTGGTCCATAGTAGCAGACAAGAAACAGGGCATTCTCATTGGCATCTTCAGCTCCATTCAGTTCAGCACACCTGTGAGCTCCACAGCCAACAGCATACGTCCTGGCCCACACCATCTGTAGAATGGGTTTGAATCAACTCTGTGGTGGGTTGTAATAGAGACCTGGGTATATCTGCCACATGTTTCATACCCTCCATCGTCTTCAACTTCCCCATCCTCATTAAGACAGGCTGCTAGCATAGTAGCTGTAGAACCTCTTCTCTCCATACCACAGCTGACCAATCAGTTGAGTGTAGTTGACAGTGTAGCTGATAGTGGCTGCAAGGCTCTCTCCAATGTAGTCAAAGGAAGTTGATTGGGAGCCACGATCTTCATTCTCCTCATACTCACATGCAGTGGCCCAGAACTGAGCTAGATAGGCCAGATCCTCATTCCACTCCTGGAATCAGCAACTAAGTACATATAATGTACTTTTCCTCCATTTTTATCCTACCATCTTCAACATGTTGGTAGCCACAGGATCGACCTGTCCTCTGTAGTGGTTGTGGGCATTCAGGATCTCCTCCTTCTCCTCCTCACCCAGTCCCTGTCCATAGACTCCATAGGACACAGCCAGTAGAACCAGCACACCACACAGCCACTGGGAAGACATGGTTGGCCAGAACTCTGTGGTGGCAATTGAAGTCGAAGATAGATGGTTTGAAGAATGATGTGTTGCTACTGCAGCAGAGATCTTCCATTTATATGTCACCCATCAATTTCTCTTTGCACTGCTTGCAAGACATGTCCATCCATTACTCGGAAGGTGGGTATAGGGAGAGATATTGCGCAATGATTTGTATACAAACACGTCACATGGCCCCAACAATAAATGTATGACGATTACTGGCAAAACACCAACAATGTTTGTGTGGTTGTTATCAGCATATCCTCTAACAACAGTACAAAGAGTTCCTCTCTTTATGCCTCAGTTAACAAGCACTTTCGGCAATTACGTACAATAGTTGGCATGTATACATGTAGGAGCTGATGATCCCCACTGGACCAGCCACAGGGTGTCTGGTGTTAGCACCAGATCGGTGTGGTCACCTCTAGATGTATTTCTTCTGTAAGCACTCTGTGTGCCCCATCCGTTTGTTTACCACGTGCTGCAGACAAACTATTCTCAAGCAGTAAAACATGCACACCAAGCTAATTGATTGAGATACACGTTAGCTGTGAACCACACCCCACAACATTTGCTGCTTCTTGCAACCAAGTCTGGGCCGAGTACAAAAGACGGAATTTGTGACCAGAACTAACCACCCAGCAATCCATCTATACAGCAGCATTGAACTAGCCTGAAACTCACTGGCCTTACAACTGCTATCATCATGTCTTCCCAGTGGCTGTGTGGTGTGCTGGTTCTACTGGCTGTGTCCTATGGAGTCTATGGACAGGGACTGGGTGAGGAGGAGAAGGAGGAGATCCTGAATGCCCACAACCACTACAGAGGACTGGTTGATCCTATAGCTACCAACATGATGAAGATGGTGAGTTTTCAGAGGAGTGATATTAAAATCAAACTGTTACCCTGCACAGGAGTGGGATGAGGATCTGGCCTATCTAGCTCAGTTCTGGGCCAGTGCATGCGAGTATGCGGAAAACGAGGATCGCAACACTCAGTCCACCTCATATGACTACATTGGAGAGAGCTTTGCAGCCACTATCAGCTACACTGTCAACTACACTCAACTGATTGGTCAGCTGTGGTATGCAGAGAAGAGGTTCTACAACTACTATGCTACAGCCTGTCTTAATGAGGATGGGGAAGTTGAGGAAGATGGAGGGTATGAAACATGTGGCAGATATACCCAGGTCTGAATAAGCAGCGATAAAAGCACAAGTACACTTTGCTTTCAATTTGCAGATGGTGTGGGCCAGGACATATGCTGTTGGTTGTGGAGCTTTCAGATGTGCTGAACTCGAAGGAGCTGAAGATGCCAATGAAAATGCACTTTTCCTTGTTTGCTACTATGGACCTGGGTCAGTTACAAGCATCAGTATTCATCTTGTGATAAAACGCTCTCTCCATACTTTCCACAGTGGGAACTTTGCTCTAGAGCCTGCCTATACCACTGGCTCCAAACCCTGTGAAAGCTGTCCCTACACACACAAGTACTGCACCAACAACCTCTGCTGTGAGTGTTGTGTCTGCTGATGCTATCATAGCCTGTAGTTACACCTGCCCTCCCTCTATCTCCCTACAGCTGAGTCAGGAGCTCCCATCACTGGTCCCATCTCCCTACTGGGATTGCTGGTTGTGGCTGTCGCAGCTCTGACTGCCCACTTCTAGACTAAGACAACATCATACCTAAATAATAGTGTGCTGATGTGTAACATAACTTTGTATATACAATGTGTATTTATTTTATTTGACATCTAATATTGACCAACATAAACTGCAAATAGTATGGCATACAGCAGAACAATTTTAGGGCATGGGATTATGGACATTGCTATGCATGACATAATTAACTTACTTCACTCTAATTAGTGTGACCCCTTTAGACCAATGTCTTTCTTTAGGCTAGTAGTTTCCATGTTTTATCTCTATTGCATGAATCATAGCTCAATCCAACAACAACTTTCTGCTGTTTGATATGAAAGGTCATATATATATACAGCATTATCATGTGAGAGACTAAGAATAAAGATATGACTCTGTGGTTGCTCACTTTACTATAGCATCTTATGTGAGCCACATACACTGAGCTGTTTTCATGGTCTATTCATGACACATCTTTAGCGGCGCTTGTAAGCTTTAATGCAGCTCTCATACAATTAAGAGTTAAAGTAGAGTCAACATAAATTACTAACAAGAGATTTTGCACAACTATAAACGCCACCTCTGGCACTAGTGGGACACATTAATGGTCCGATAATCTCGATGACACTAGTTCATGGCTTAATTAAAGTGGTGTGTGAGAATAAGACACTGTATATATGCTCTCATATCAACACTGATAACTAATAGCACACATCTCTCAGTTTACTTCTAAGGCAACCATTACACCACACCCCTATATACCTTAATATAGTAGAAAGGGCACAGTTACCTCGACTACTCACACCACTGACAAACATGCAGGACATAACAAACCACTCACACTAGTGTAATGGGACATGGACGTGAAGGGAGCTCTGGCAAACAGTGAATATCAGAACTGATATATACCACAGCACAGTCAGTGGTGTCATGGACACTACTGGCAGTGTTAGCACACCCTGACTGCTGCCCAGGCAGGTTAGCACAAGCCACAACCTCAATCCCACTATAAAAGTCACAGAGATGAGGTTCGGTGTACCACTCCGAACGACCTAGCTTCAAATTTCCACTCGCCAGCATACCAACCATGTCTTCCCAGTGGCTGTGTGGTGTGCTGGTTCTACTGGCTGTGTCCTATGGAGTCTATGGACAGGGACTGGATGAGGAGGAGAAGGAGGAGATCCTGAATGCCCACAACCACTACAGAGGACAGGTCGATCCTGTGGCTACCAACATGTTGAAGATGGTAAGATAAGACTGGAGTGAAAAGTACATATATGTACTTATTGCTGATTCAGGAGTGGAATGAGGATCTGGCCTATCTAGCTCGTTCTGGGCCACTGCATGTGAGTATGAGAGAATGAAGATCGTGGCTCCCATCAACTTCCTTTGACTACATTGGAGAGAGCTTTGCAGCCACTATCAGCTACACTGTCAACTACACTCAACTGATTGGTCAGCTGTGGTATGGAGAGAAGAGGTTCTACAACTACTATGCTACAGCCTGTCTTAATGAGGATGGGGAAGTTGAGGACGATGAGGTATGAAACATGTGGCAGATATACCCAGGTCTCTATACACACCCACAGAGAGTTGATTCAAACCCATTCTCAGATGGTGTGGGCCAGGACGATATGCTGTTGGCTGTGGAGCTTTCAGATGTGCTGAACTGAATGGAGCTGAAGATGCCAATGAGAATGCCCTGTTTCTTGTCTGCTACTATGGACCTGGGTCAGTTTACCTTACTTCACTACTTCAACTTGTGATAAAACTCTATCTCCATACTTTCCACAGTGGGAACTTTGCTCTAGAGCCTGCCTATGCCACTGTGCTCCAACGATAAGAGTCTGTGTTGTCTACACACACAAGTACTGCACCAACAACCTCTGCTGTGAGTGCAAGGAATGGGTATGTACTGATGTATGAGGACATTATTTTCCCTCTCTGCAGCTGAGTCAGGAGCTCCAATTGCAGGGCCGCTCTCTCGCTACTGGGGCTGCTAGTGGTAGCCGCTGGGGCCTTCTCCTCCCATCTCTAACAGAGCCACAGACATAAAACTATACATAGCTAACTAGTTAGAACCAATAATGATACCCATAAAGTTTGTTTAAAACCAAGATATCAACTGAGTTGACACTGAGAGTAATGCTATGAGCAATAGTGGCATGCAACTGACAGAGAGTAATATTATTCGCAGCATTTTGTGGATATAGTGTCCAGTTCTAATGGTCACAATATTGAGTCCAGTCTGTCCACTTTGTTTCAGAGTGTCGTGTGAAGTAGTTATGGTCTCTGAGCCGCAGTAAAATGAACTGGACAGTGAGGGAGTAACCATAACAGGAAATCTATTTTAATCTACCAAAATTCTAAGCAGTTCTATGCATCAACATGCTAAACTAAACTGCCAAATACGTATAGAGCATAGTTTCTTGGATAAGTTAATTAACATTGATACTATACTCATAATCGATATTATCTATTATGAGATTATCTGGTTTGCATGAAGATGACTATAACTCTATCTAGTCTCTGGTCCAAGAATCTTGAGCTCTATGTTGTATGAGGACCTGAGGCCAATACCTGTCAGGGATCAGACCAACTGCCAAATAAGTGAACATACATGATGAATGATTAGTGTCTCAAAGTAGCACCAACACAATCTCTTTGTCGCAATGGTGACACAAAGTTGACTTATCCCACACACCACACACACACCGACTCACACTGTACATCTACAGATTGCAAGTATATTATACCCAGTGGTGTCTACAGGCACTCAGGCTGAGCATAGAGTTAGCAAGCACAGCTGTACAGGTCACAGGGCTAATGGTCAATGACAGGAGAAAGTGTGGGATGCCCTGCTGGCAATGTATGGGGACAGTGATCACATGCCTACAGCAGATGTCTCCACAATCAGTTACACCACCCAGTGGCCTACATAAACCCCAACTCATCGTGAGAACACACTGATCTACTGAACCTCCACAGAGCAAATTATCACACTCTGTGTGTCTGTGTGTGTGTGTCGAGCTCAGTTGTTCTATACTCTCTGCAAGTGTTTCCAGCTGTGAGAAGATGAAGTACTACTGGGGAGTGTCTGTCGCTCTGCTGCTGCTGTGTGTAGCTTGGGGAGCCAGGGCCCAGCAGAGCCTCTCCGAGGAGGAGATCGAGGAGCTCCTCAATGCCCACAACTACTACCGCAGCCTCGTGGACCCAATTGCCACCGACATGCTCAAACTGGTACGTATAGCTACTCCCTGTTTGCTGAAGTTTTGCCAAGTGAAAGTGTGGGGCATTCCTAGTGTTGCCTCTACACCAATGCACTTGTTGTGTGCATATTTTGTTTTACCAATGCACTAATTGTGTGCATATCATGTTTTTACCAATGCACTCTTTGGTTAAAAAATGTAAAAGTGGTTGCCTCCCCATGTAACTGTCACGAAAGATGCTGATCTTAAAAGGCTATTCAACCTCTTTCTCTCTCTTGCTGTCACTTCATGCAGGCCTGGGACACCAACATGGCTTACAATGCTGACTACTGGGCAGACGAGTGCAAGTACGAGTTGAACGAGGATCGCCACGACCAGTCGACAGAGTACGACTACATCGGACAGAACATCCTGGCCACTGACGAGCAGTCGGTCAACTACACCACTCTGCTGGGAGGGTGGTTCAAACAGAGGTCGAGGTCCAACTACTACACTGGCGGGTGTACGGACGACGATGGAGAGGAGAATGAGGAGCTGGAGGGATGCGAAGGGTACTCCCAGGTGCGATGAGTGTTTAACCTTATTTCTAACCCGTATAATGATTTTAAAAGGACCATGCTAGAAAGAGTTTCTATTGTCACTGAAGATAAAGATGATCTATGGGCAGCTCTAAATACCCCCTAATATTGTGTTGTCATATTACTAAATGATACATGTTACTAATATACAGGCCAACTATATCCCAGCTAGCATCTGGATTTTTGAGCAACTTGAAGGATATTTGTGTGAAAGTTTTGTCCAGAAATATCCTATCGCTACACAATCGCCTTGTGTCCAACAGTGCATGCACTTTCGATATGCTCAATGAGACACTGGTTGACTGTGTACAGATGGTGTGGGCCAGGACAGAAGTGGTGGGCTGTGGAGTGAGGAGATGTGCAGAGATCGAGGGAGAGTGGAGAGAAGATGATGATGATGATGATGATGATGAGAATGACAACAATGAGAATATACTCTTCCTGGTCTGCAATTATGGCCCTGGGTATGAGTCATTACTCCACCTACTGTTAGTGTAGCCACCATTACCGTAGGTGTAGTCAGCCGCCATGTAACAGTGTGACCCCTAGTAATGTTGCAGACCGCTTCAATTTGTCACTAAGTGAGGACACATGTCACATTTCACTGCACTACACTGTGACTATACATGTCTTTTGTCGACTCGAGTGGACATGGACAGAAGCATTTCCGTGTGCTTATAAACTTGCTAACACACTCCACTATAATGTGCATTACACTCGTAGTCATAGTTTGAAAGAGGGTGTACGATATCTCTACAGGTCTACAAACGCCTCCCGTAACGCCAAACAAGTTAACATGCAACCCCATCTCAATGGTACACAACGTCGTGTCTATGATACAACAAGTATGTGGCTCCTTTGCTTTGCAGTGGACATTTTGAGGGAGAGAAAGCCATACCAGACTGGTAGTGAAGCCTGCACTTCCTGCCCCAGCGAACGGCTCTACTGTGTCAACAACCTTTGCTCATGTACGACTAGACACTTTTTTTGATCATTCACAACTGAATGTTCCTTCCAAACTCTCTCTCTCTCTCACACCACACACACCCTCTCTCTCTCTCTACAGTTGAGTCAGGAGCAGTAGTTGCAGGAGTGTCCCTGCTGGCTGTATTGCTGATGCAGTGACTG